AGCAGCTGAGGGGCCGGAAGACAGAGGAAGACCTAATTGAGGGAAAAAGCTGAAAATGAGAGGGAACGGGTCGAGCAGAGGTCAGTGAGAAGAAGACAGAAGCAGAGGAGAAAAACCAAGAACCAGGGTGAGAAGGGCGAGGTGGAAGGAAAGAAAGAAACTGAGGGAGGAAGCAAGGAGAGAGGGTGGGGGAGTGCTGTCAATGCTGGTGGCCTTTCTGAAAGGTTAGTGGCCTGGCCAGAGGGAGTCAGGGTGAATGGCTGACACTTTGCAGGGATAAGAACACACACATACACACAGAAACACGGAAACACAATCTTCTGACTACAGGGTAGATTTTTTCACATGGCATTTAAAGAAAAGCACGTTTGTCCACACTGACTAATGACATTAAACATTACCTGACATTTCACATGGGTGGAATTAGTTGAGCTATTGTTCAGCAAATGTGTGTGTGTGTGTGTGTGTGTGTGTGTGTGTGTGTAGTGTGGAGAGCTGTGGGCAGGGCTTAGAAAGACTCAGGGGCCGCTTTCTCCTGCAGAAGACAATATAAAACCCGGTGTGCCTCAAAATACACAAATCAAACCACCTGACACGGCAGCACGTCTTCATCTCAGTGTACACATTATTAGATGAAAGATATTAAAACTCAGAAAAGTGCCCAAAAAAGAGCCTAAATTAATGAATCCCTGAAACATACTGAAACAGTAAACAAAAGAATGGCACTCGATAGAGGGAATATCTGCACCAAGACCCAACTGTCAGTGAAATTCAATAAAGATAAACCAAATTACACACAATCATAAATATCAGTCCCCAATATAAGCCTGATTTCTTTCATTAAGATTCACGAGTTATCATCTCATCTCACTAGTCAAAGACAAGAGAAACAAATCCCCGGATCTGCTGCATCATCCTGATCCTCCCCAACCCCCTCTTTCCACCAAGATTCAAGAGAATCTGCAGTTTTTGTGCGATTCTGCTTACAAACAATCAGACAAATGGACAGGGGACAGGGGACAGAAATGATAGGAAAGTTTCACCTTTTGGCCACAGAATAAAGTGTACATTGACATTGCCCTCTGGTGTGTCTGTGGACACAGGAAGTTAGAAACTGCATATTGGTCACATAGCAGCTCCTGCTGCATCATTCAACGTCATACTTCACTGATATTTTAATGTCGGCTTGAGGTGTCCTTTTCACAGGATATGCACCAAGTTGCACCAGTCCATAAAATAAAATTCCCAGCAGTGTTATCGAGTGGTGCTCAAGGGCAAACTTCAGATATGAGTCTTTGTAGAGCAATAGCTTTTTCCTTCTGTGCCGCCTTGGACACCATGCTCCGTGGTTTGTCAACTCATGAACATGGACGTCAACCAGCTCAGATGATTCCTGCAAAGCTGCACCGATCAGTCCGTGGGTCCTGGGAGTCTTTTTTGCCTGATGCCCTCCTGCAGGGAAAGTAGCCACAGAACTAACCTATCACCATTACCAGTTTACAGTAGATCAAAACTCTGACTGATTCTTTTGTCATATGAAAAAAAAAAAAACAATTTCATGTCAAAAATCGTATAAACAATATGGATTTACATCCAGCTGCCATTTCCAAAGAATGAGACAAAGCCAGTGTTCCCAGTATAGATTAAAATACTTTGCAAATGTGTTTTATAATGGATCTTTATAACAACTAAAATACTGCTGATCAAAAGAAGGAAATTCACTCACCCTGCTTTACTCTTTTAAGCAATGAGTACACTTCCTGGTCATCCTTATCCTCCATCCCATTATTCCTCGATGCCATTACATTTGAATAGGAAGTGTTGGCTCCACACCAGGAAACTGCTGTGAACCGCTCGTCACTTTTCATAGAAGGTGTCTCTGGCTTTGCCCACCTTGTTAACAGTTAATATCTCTCCTCGTTAATCTTTTTCTCTCCTGCTTTGCTGTGTCTCTTCATTTTTCCATTCTCATCTTTTCTCACCCTCACAACAACCTGAAAGCGTGGGACTTAAAGAAACACACGTTTCTATCATCCGCTGTTTAACTAGGGCCGGGGTTTCCTGCTCAGACTCCAGGGAGTGAACCTCAGACCTTCGGAAACAGTAGCAGTGTCTTTTTACTTTAACAGTTATACATGCTTATTAAATTACAAATGATTCATGGGCATTTCATGTAGTTTACAACTAGCATCTATTACATTCAGAGCCTGTGTGTTGCAAGGTACTGTGGGTCAGAAAGTAGGACTGGGCTCAACTGGCTACACACATTTTTATTTCAGCTGAAGTAATCATCCATCTACATTCTTCTGCTTATCCGAGGTCAATTTGTGGTGGAAACAGGGTGTAACGAGCTTCTCCTGGAGGATCCCAAGGCGCTCCTTCAGGGAGTTGTGGGATTATTTTTATGATTATCATGATACATGTCAAATCACTTCTTTTTTTTTTTTAGCTCTTCCTCCTAATTTAAAGTTGAAGAAACTAGACAATTAACTGTAGTTTTAAACTGAACAGTTCATTTCACAAACTTGAGGTAGAACATTCAGAATTATTATACCACATGTTTTCAATAGATGCATTACATCTATATTTATACATACATACATTTATATTTAACTTTTCCTATTTTCCTATATTGTTAATGATTAAAAAATGTATTTCAATGAATATTATCATTTTAGCGCCCAGCCCCTTGGAGCCTGTCCAACTTTCATGTATAGAAACAATTGTATCTCCATAAATGTGGAACTGTCCCTTTAAGCTTTTTATTCATTGGTTGAATGACAGATAGTTGCAGTTTGATGTGATCATAGACTTACCAGATGCTAAACTGCCCAATTATTTCTGCTGTCTCTTTCTGCTCATGTTCAATGTGTGTCTGGCTAATGGGATAAATGAACCTGTGTCATTAATGACTTAAGGTGACTCAGGCGAATTTCCTGTCTCATAATAAATGTGTCAGGCCTCGCGGAGAAGCAGCGGAGATGTGACTGAAGTTAAAATTGGATGAGGCACAGTGAACATCAAGTCTTATTGCTCGACGCCAGGCTGTGATTTGTCTCGCTGTGTATCTGAAATTGAGTGCGATGATACTTCTGGTTTAAAAATGCTGCTTTAAGTCGGAGCCGAAAGCCTGTTGAAAGCTGCCGTGAGGATGTATTCACTGCCTGTCGTTTTTTATGATATGCTGCTCCTTGGTTGTGCTGTCTTGTTATTAGAGGCAGATGTGCCTCTCTTCCTTCCACTTCAATCGTGTTTCTTTTCAAAAGAGAGACTAGTCAGTGTAAAACAGGATGTGACTGATGTTCCTTTCTTTATTATTTTTGACTCAAAAGTGTGTCATAAGAAAATGATGAAATAATAAAATGGAGTGCTCTGGTAGATTTCTTTTGTACCCAGCCTCCAGCTCTAGGGCAGTGGGGTGGCAAAGCAAGCCCAGCTACGGTGCTGCACGGCTGGTGAGATTAGAGCCAGGAGAAGCTCACCCCCCCCACTTCCCTGTTAGCCCACAGCTTCTGCTCATCTGGCATCCCCAGATGTGGATGTTAAAACAGTGTCGACGCTCAGCCTCCATCTGCTGCCATCACATGCTGAACCCCCAGAGAGCCCACACTGCTTATTTGAGGAATCTCACTCAGGTGTCAGAGCTGAGGGGAAGAGTCAGCCTGCTCGCCTTTCTGATTTATCATATGTATTTATGTATATAGTCCATTTAAATTCTATTGATAGTATCCAATGATATGTGTTGACGGATGTTGATAATTTAAAGTATGTGCATTTAAAATTACAAACCATTTATTAATAGAACATCTGACCAATCAGAGCACTCACTGCTTAGACTTCATTTATTTCTAATTAAATAAGTTAAGTACATTTATAAGCCTTTTTAGTAATTCTAATATTTTTCATATGAAATAATCATTTAAATGCAGTATAATATTTAAGATCAATTTAGTGATATTGTTAGTTTGATAAAAAGAAAATTCTTCATCGCTTTCAATCACATGTCATGGTCTCCATTAGTTGTCGCCACAGTCGACTCTGTGTGGAACTTATATAATAAGCCTTTTCTCTTTATTGTCCGTGATCAAGTCAAGAGGCTGAGGAGGTAGAGCGGGTCATCCGCTAATCATAAGGTCAGCGGTTCGATCCCCAGCTCCTCCGATCCGCATGTTGATGCGTCCTTGGGCAAGACGTTGACGAATTGCCCCTGATGGTTGAGCAGGCAGTGTGTGGGAGTGGGATGTGACAGTGAACCACTTCATATAGAATGTGAGTGTGACTCATTATGTAAAGCACACTGAGTGGTCTCTAAGACTCTAAGCACTGTATACTGTGAATGCAGTGCATTTGTTGGATATTCTGAAATGTGAATGTGATTATAGTGGAATCAAGTCAGTACGTACGCTGAAACACAGAACAGGGACGAGACAGAGAAAGAGCTCGAACCAAAGGCTGGACAGATGATGAAAGCAGGAAGGAGAACAAGGAAAATGGGTACAGGAAGTGCCACTGGGTGGGAAGAGAGAGAGAGAGTCAGAGGGAGTCAGTTCAGTGTTGAGCTGCGAGTCGCTCTCACGCGCTGTGGTCTGCTGCTCCGGATACGGTTTATAGGAAGACGCCTCTCCATACTGTTGGTGCTCGCATTGGAGGGAACTTTGTGTTTATCTGCGACGACTTGTTTTTATCACAGCTGAGACCAAACTGGACATCATGCTGAAGTTCAGCATCACCCATTCCTCCAGGTGTGTGAGTGAGTGTGTTTGCAAGTGTGTTTCTGAGGGCAGCAACTCCACCACCCCCACCACCCCTCACTCTCGCTGTCTGTGATTCTTTCTGAGCTGACAGCAATGTCCTGTATTACCTTTTGACTTAAACCGTGTCTTTTTTTTTCTTCGTCTAAATTTCATGTTTTGACCGATTGTTGCTGCGTTGATTGTTCCACTCATGTAATGTCCTCTCTCCCCTCTTTGTCTCTCTCCTGCCTCTATCTTTCCCTGCAGTCACAATGAGCGAAAGGTGACCTGCAAGCACCCGGTGTCAGGAGTCCCCTCCCAAGACAACTGCATCTTTGTTGTAAACGAACAGTAAGTCTCTGTGCACTGTGACACACTCATACAGCACTGTATGCTTCGGATTTCTGCACTGATTTGAAAGGTCAAAGGAAACTCTTATGGATGGAGTCATTCTTTCAACGTCTGCTGCAGCTGCACTGTCCAGCTGTGGCATCATGTGAATGTACTGTATGAGGACAGAAGACGCCTTTGGATGCACAAGAAACCCTGCTTGGACCAGAGGGAGCGAGCGAGTGAGTGAGTGAATGAGTGAGTGAGTGAGTGAGTGAGTGAGGCTACAGGCATACCGTATGGCGTGTTTCAACAATAGCTGTTAGCAAAGACAACAGGGTCCAGGATCTGCAACGCCTGTAATTGAATGTCCATGTTGCGGTATACACTGGTAGCGTACCTGGTGGCTAATGCCGATTGTCTTCTTCTGAGAGATGGTCATGTGATAAGAGCTTGACGAATCAGCAAAGGCTAGGCCGTGACCAAAAAGCCCCAACCCACAAGCCGTTGTGTTTATGTCATCGTTTCCAAACGTCCCTTGTTTCTGTCCGTCCACAGTAAAACGTAGCAGCAGTTTTCAAATTGTCCCAACTTCTCCATTTGATTGGCTCAGATTTAGATTTTCAAGGTCGCTGCGACTGTGCAAAGTGACTCAAAAGCTCTAATTATGACAAAATGATGAAATGATGAACTGATGACATTTTTTATCCAAAAGGTCACAGGTCAACATCACGGTGACAAACTAATGTGGCATAATGTTCTGGCCATTAATAAACACCATAACTCAGGAGCAGAGGAGGAGGTTGTGACCGTAATTCCTGACGCTTCACTGTTTGGTGGAGGCAAACGACTGAGACAGTAATTCTAGTTTTTATGGGATAACGAAAGCAAGTGATTAGGGTGATTCGTTGTATTTGTTGACATTCCGACACAGTCATGAAGCCTTTTATATTAGTGTAGACATCCACGCTGCGTTTAAGTTTTGCATCTCTACATTTACATCTACTAAACTTGTCCTATTCGTCTCGACTATTTTCTCCGAGTGTCGCATGAGATTCACAGCAAACTAGACAGTGAGAATTATCTTTCATCACATTCTCAATGTCTACATCTGTCGAATATGCCACTTACATAAATATTCGCAACACTTCCTGTACCTGTTTCAAAGTAAAAGGTCTCTAGCATTTTGTTGAATCCATTTCTCAGCTTTTATTTGTTATTATCGCAGAACGAGAAGATGCACCACTTCACACTGTAGAGTGCTGACATTTACATTTTATTCTGGGAAATACAGTACAGTCATACCAGAAACCAATCAGATTAGCAGAACACACAACCAGTGTGGCCACAGTGGTGCTGACACCCGTCAGTGTGAGTGCAACATATCTTTGATATCGTTCCAACTGCTGCGAACGTCACACCAGAAACATGTTGGACGCAAACACTGCTAGGTCACTGCCTACATTAGCATAGGGTTTTCAATAAATATGCTCAAAAATGATAGAAAGAAAGGTGATTTTGAGGTTCGGGCGTTTGTTCACAATAATCCGACTGAGACTTTGTCATCAGGGGAATCTAGGGATTTCAGTGTGAACAAGAACTGGTAGTCAAAGCAGTATAATCACAGTTATGCACATCATTTTCAGTTCAGTGTGCATCAGTCAGCCAGACCAATCTTCCATGAGCGGTCTTCACAGTGTTACTGAAGCCTGGCTCCTCACGCCCTCTGACACCTAACGGAGATATGTGGTCGGACAATGCAGCAGTTCAAATCACTTCTTGTCAGTTTAATTCAGCATTTAAGCCACAAAGTGCCACAAGCTTCTTTATCGACTCTGTAGAAAAAAATGGAACAGAAGACAAAAAGCGAGCAAATGGCCAAAACGTTGAATGTGAATAGTATTGATGTTTTAAACTCAGCTAATAGGTGAAGATGACATGACTGTTGAACTTACGCAGTAAGTTATGTGGAAAAACACACTATATGCATTTTGCCTTTTACAATACTTCATGCTGCCTTATTTGAGACTGTATACTGTAATAGATTTCGTTTTGATCATAACCAAGTAATCACATGATGGATATTTGTTGTGTTGATTTATTTAAAAGAGATCTATAATTAAGGCAGTCCTAATCTGCGTCTGAGTCATGGAAAATCACATCTCACAGACAAATACATAATGACTGAATGATTACGTTTCATTTTTGGCCCTGACTGTGGTGGTGTGGTGGAGTGTAGCTCTGATTGTACCACAGCTGTCCTTTCAACAGATAATAAGCACAGACAGGGCGATGTGTCCATGCAGCTGTGAGGCCTTTAACAGAGCATCAGTGTGCCGCTACATAACGCGCCGCTCTCAGTGGCGTGGACTCCAACACCGACCACTCTGCAAATCACAGTCCACACTCTGTACACTGGTCCATGTCCACTGGATCTGATCTCAGTCCTGCTGCTGAGCCCGACCTTCCTGGAAGCAGTGGCTGAATAGGAATCATAAGAATTGTGGGTGTAATGCACCCGCAATACGTTATTGTTTAACTCTGCCGATTCACGTTACGCAGACCAACAGGTTGGTGTCTCCCTCTTTTCCTTTCTCGTCCAATTGTTATCTTATACACGCTGGCTAGATTGCGATGGGCTCCACAGACACGCTCATGCAACAGCAAACCTTCACAATGGCACAACGGCAGCCAGAACAAACAGCAGCTTCTTGTCAATAATCACTTCCCGCACTGCGCTATTCACTGTTAATGATTCACAAACTGACAAATGAGAGTTTCCTCCAGTAACAACATGTCTGATCGTCTGACTGTGTCTTGCTCTGTTGCACAAGGTCGTGGAGATTTTCTCTCATAGTCAGATTTCAGAATTGGACATGAATGTTGTCGTAGATATGACACGTGAGTGAAATGATCATTTAATGTCTCGTCTCTGGAAGAGAAACAGTTCCATGTTTCCCCTCTGGCTCCAGCTCCAGGTTCTGCTTGGACGTTGCTGTCTGCTTACTGAGCGTGCAGAGATGTTGCTGTGCTGCAGCCCGCTGTCAGATTTCAATCCGTCTCGGCCTCCTCGCTTTTAAGCTGTTGAGTGCGATTGTGTGCTTGACTTACCGAGGGTCAGTCAGTCTGTGAATGCTAACACTGATCAGATTGTTCATTTGCATCTGTTTATCAAGCGTATCCATCTTATTCTACGTGTTCTGTCATCTGCTGTCAGTCTCTTCACTCCGTTTATAGCAGCTATGCTACAGACCCACAAACCGAAAGAGAGAAACCCATCCAACGTTTTCCCTCCCTCACTCTGTGCTGTCAGGATGACTGACTTCTGGATGCTCCCCACCCATCAACTCTGAAATGGGATCCATTCTGCGGATGACACACATGCTTCTTGCAAAGAAAGTGTTTTCTACTCCCCGGGAGACAAACTAGAAAGCACCAAAAAGTCAGGATGATGGCGCTGAAATGAAATTTAGGACCGCAGCTTCTGAGAGAGACAAACAAACTGCAGCAATTACACGCTCCAACTCCAAAAGAGTCGTCAGGATGGTATTTCAATCCGCTCTCGTCTCCGAATGTGCAGCTGAGATACCGACCCGCCATGATGCGCACACACACACACAGACGCACAAACACACACAGACACTTTTGCTGCTAACAACTTCAGTGCAGCTGCACTCTCTCTTTTTCTCACACACCCTCTCTCCATAACTTTCACACACTCGATCACTCCATCTCCATCCCAATTATCACTGCTGTCACACTGAGAGATGAGGTGCCTGCATGTGTGAGTTTGTGCGTGTTAGGTTATGTAGACGAGGCGTGCGTGGCTTGTATTTCTAGACTTGTTGAGCAGAGTGCAGGTGAGAAAGTAACAGGGGACAAAAAGGTGTTTGACCGCGGCTGCATCACTGATGAGTGTTTCACCTTGCTCTGCACCAACTGGCAATGATGCTGAGTGAAAAGCCAAATATCTTTGCTTTATATTTCAGTCTCAGTAAGTGGCATGCATGGTAATTGTTATTAGACCTGCGGACATGCAAAGCTTGGCGTTTGTTTGTGGCTCCGATGTTCATCACAGTCTGATGATAAAAACATTATGGGATATTTTAGATAAGCCTTTTGTTTAGAGTTAAGTTTAAAGACTAACACACTTTCAAGTATTCCTGAGAGTCCACATCTGGTTAGGATTTTCTTTTCCTTCTCACTCAAGAAGGCCTGCTACTGCTTTTTCATGGTATTCTAGATAAGGCACCATAAAAAGGCAAAGAGGGGTGACAAAGCGCACAGCATTAATCCCCCACTCCCCTTCCTTATGATAATTTGCAAATATAAAATGTCATCTGGTGAGCTCAGCCTGTCTGTTTGGGGCTTGTGGTAAAATGGTGTTGTGAAGTTGGCACTGATAGTGGAGCTCATGGAGTGAAACAGTAAAGTGCTGGTGAGCATAAATCTTTGAAGTAAAAACCAGTCAGTCTCAAATGTTTATGGCGAGCCATGGCAAATCCCTAATCAACATGCTACACTTTTCAGTTTGACAGATATTTATCCTCATAGTTGTCACAATGGAATACGATCCCTGAAGTCCAGTTGGAGAACAGATGAATGCATTTAAAAGAGTATTTTAGAAACTAATCAAAGACTGATTGAACAAGGACGTCTTGTTGAATGATATAGCATTGCATCGTGTCAGACTGGTCCAGCTATTTTTTCATTGATTTGATAGTTACCTGCATCGTTTCTCGTGCCAGCAGACAGATTCATTTAAATAAATGAGAGATATGGAATTCTTCGTGGGTATTTCTCTGGACTTTGATTGGAAATTAAGAATTCCATATTGTAATACACCTTTTTATTAGTTTGACAAATTTCAAAGAACTTTCTGTGGCACTATGTTGGAAAAATAACGGACCACATTTTTTATTAACATGGCAAGAAAAAGTATGGAACTGGGCGTTCTCTGGAAACCACTGTTTCTTTTTTAAGAGATGTACCTAAACTGATTTACAGCACAGCAGAGATAAGTACTGCATATACCCTTTAGAGTTATAGCAGTAAACTGGGATGATGAAAATCCAATATCTGTAACTCGGTGGAAGGTTTTACATGATGGAAAGAACGATCACAAGACTGCAACTGTAAATGGACAATTGTACACGAAGATGGACTTGTTACATTATATCTGAACGTTCAACCATGTGGAACAGGTTGTCTTAACAAGATTTTTATTATGTGCATAGTTCTATGAGGTCAAGGAATGTTTTATTTTGGTAAAATTAAAAAAAAAGAAGTTTAAATAAGAAAAACAAGAAACCTTATATTGCATCATTATGCACTGTGTTTTGAACACGTCACATGTTGTTTTTAATCTAACATGAAAGCGTCTTTGTGCCACATGAGCAATCAAGCCTCGTCAGCTTCTACTGCCTTTTCCTCTGAAAATTTAAAAGGATATGAAAATGAATGAGCACTGGCTCTAAGCTTTCCCTCCAGACTCAGGATCATCTCAGCTGCTCAGATTTAACGCAGCACATCACAGAGGTGCAGCTGAACACCAGCTCTGAGTGGTTTCACAGTCTCATAGGCTGTGGCAGAAAAATGGAATGCCCCTATACATGCACACTGCTGTCACGCTGCTCCTGTATGGAGTGCTGGGATGATCAGTCATCTGGAGACAGGCCAACATTTTCAGCCAAACAATTCAATTGCTGCCTTTTCCAATTTGCTTACGTTACTGCTCCCTCAGTTCCCACAGGTTTGCACCATATCTACTGCTTAAAGCAGTGACTGAAATCATGTGGGAATGAAAGGAAAGATGGTGTTGTTGTTGTGGAAGGTGGTGTTTATGAAGTCTGCTGTCTCTAGAAATTGAAAATATGAGCAAAAGATGAGAAGACTTTGCGATCTTGATTTTTTTTTATGGCCATACAAACGTGTTATCAGTCAAATCCAAAAACTACAGAATATAAACGGATGTTGTCAGAATTTAATTGCAGCCGAGCTGTTGAGCTGCTTTAAAAGTCCAGTGTGTACGATTTAGGTGAAACAATCTATTGGCAGAAATTGAATAAAAAAGAATCCATGTGATGTTTTCATGTCACTAAATTCTACACACTGAACCTTTAAGTCTGGATACACAGTCAGGAAATATGTAATTTAGTACTTGCATTTAACGTCCATTCATCTGTCGAGGGCTTCGGGATAATATCCACAGGTGCAGTGCAATCCAAGTCTATTTTATCTGCTGTGCATTCATGGGAAATACAGCTATACACACAGAGCGAGAGGAGGAAGTGGAAAGCTTCTGAGGTTCACTGGAACTCAACAGACCAGAATTATCATAGCTGTGGCTGTTCATTTTCCCTCATCATTTCCCTTTGTTCGAATGGGATCAGTGAATGTTGTGAACCAGCAGCCTGAACTAAAGTGCATGGGTCACAGCTTGGACCTGGACATCCTGTCTACAATCTCTGTGATCAGCATGTGATCCAGATCAGGTTTTGAGTCTTGAATTTTTGGCCATGCAGGTAGCAGTATAGCAACCACTTCTACTATTCTGCCACCTTTTCCAGTTTTGTTCACGTACATCACTCCTTGTGCCCCTGCTGGCTCAATGCAACACACAGAGTGGCCTAAAAGATGCTAAATGAACTTGGGATTATGAACTAAGACTACAACACAGATGATTAAGTGTGATTTGAGTGGACTCTCACACCTCCTTCCTTGGTATACTGTGTCTCTGTTCTCCTTCACCCTTTCTTAACCATCTCTTGATACTTCCCTGATCACATATTCGATTTCTACTCCCACACTGCCTGAGGCGGTTTAATGGTAAGGCAGTGCTTCGCGGCTCTTCATCTATTCAAATGTCACTCACTTAAAAGTTTAAATGAAATGATTCCTAAAACCCTCATCCAGTAAGTTGCTTTTTCCCTCTGGGGGAGAACTTTTCCTCCATTTATCTCATTAGGATGCATACCCCTCTGAAGCTTGCCGTTGTTAATGATTCTCTAGTTTCCCGTACTCACTCTTTTGTGATATATTCACTGCTGTCTTGCTCTCTTCACGTCCCCGATGTTTTGTTAATAGCCTACTTCTCACCCCATGCTCTGAAGTTTTGAGGCAGAGGAGTTTTGAAAGATGTGCGTTTTTGTCATTCTTTGTCTTTCTTCCTGCTTCCTGCTTCCTGCATCTGCTGCCTTGCTTAATTATTAATGGATTTCGCTCACATGTCTTCGCTTGTGTCACTGAACAAACAACAGAGGGATTAGAAGACAGGAAAACAGTAGTAAACCATAACAGACAGATATGAACATATGAAAGAAAACAGAGGGAGAGTAACTATTGTGTCGATGTCGGGAGGCTGGAAACGATGGTGATCAAAGACATGACGCTGAGAGGAAAACTAGTGTGATATTAAATTAATGATCAGACAGGCTAGAAGGAGACAGTGGCAGACTGAAGAACAAAGAGTTTTTCTGTTTGTCCACAAAAGCTTCCTGCGTTCACACGAATTCACATGATTCATTTGCAAGTACAAGAAAAAGATACTTTTCCCTCCTCGTCTGCAGTGATGAAAGAACTACCTTCTTCCTCTTCCTATTTCATGTTTCTTTACTCCATCATTTTTTATTCCATGCAGCACGACTGATTTTCATCTTTGAAGTCATTATTTGAGTTCTTATTATTTTGTCATTCTTTCTCCCTCCCTTGTTCTGTTTCTAGTGTGAGTTGTGGAAAGCTTGTCCACCCTGACAGGCCCGTAGAGGCTCCCACCAGGTAATGACCCCTCACCTCACTGACAGAGCTTCAGCTTCTTTATCAGCCTTCATGCTTTCAGTACTAGTTTGCAGTGAATAAAACCCAGACACTGTTGCATGGAGAGTGTCAAGCAACGGGCAAGTTTAAATGAACGACCAATATAATGTCCTTTTATAACAATATAATACAAAGACATGAACTGAAGTGGCAGGAGACATGTGTTTTTGCTTTAACCTTTCATTACAAAGTTAATGTTAATTGCACAATGCAATGGCTATGGAACGATGACACCTTAGCTGCTTTCAGACGTGTGAACACAAATGTCAGAGTGAGATGCTCCGTAGTTTCTATATATGGACTTTATCCGTCTGACCTCCTAGTATAAAATCTGTAGAAATCCAGGAGAAGCGATGTGAGAACACAGCGGTGGATCCCCCGCCGGATTCACCGTGAGCGGGTGGGGGGGATTGATTCCTAACATGTGACAGATGCAAAAATGACAAAGGTAAAAGAAAACAAAAAAGGGTTGACACACACGTAGACGACACTGACAAATGCATCAAGAGAATTTGTGGTGATAAGAGCTGAGAGAGTGTCGGGTTGCTGTAAACTAAACCACGTGGTCTATGCAGCAAAGTTAATACGTCATGTCCTGCTTCTGTCTGCTGCACCCGGCTGCTCCACCTCTCACCTGAAAAATGCGAGAGAAGGATTGGGGATAAACTCCTAACCACCTTTACCCAGAGGTCAAATCTGAAAACAGCTTGTGTGTTTATAGTCCTTCTTCAGAAACCTTAATTCACTATCTGCCACAAAATGAAGTCTCCATTTAGGTTTTTTCGCTGATAGCTATCAGTAGCTTCCGCCAGGTAATGGAAATGGTCAACAGTGGAACAACCACAGTTAATGTGGAAACTCTACCTAACAAAAGAAAAACAGCCCTGTAGTGAGGAGGACAATAAATCAAAGACAGAGAGTGATAGAAACTGAGGTAAAACTCAACATACAGTGACTCTGTGAGTGGGGAGTATGCAGGACTCACTTAATCTTAAATGTATTTATTATATCATGTTATAGCAATGCAACACAATAATGCCCCCCCTCCTCTTCCTTTTCCTCAGTCCGAGGCAAACGCAAAGATGCGCTCAAACAAATGCAGGTTTAGTTTGCTTAGCTTTACAAGCTTTAACAGGGAGACTGAGCAGCAACTCAGAAACTCCATTCAAATGAAAAATCATTCCTCAAAACAGGATTATCATTGCATTATACATAATGTATACAAAGTTAGTAAAGTTAGAACTAGGTTGATTCTATGGTTAACCCCTTATTTTACTTTTTGTGCAAAACCAGCCTAACCTTTCCTAAACCGATCTCTGAACTGGACGCAATATCTTCTCACTTCACACGGCAAACTGGTCAAGCTGTTCCTTTAGTTTCACAACAAGATGGTTGGTAAAACCCACTGTTAGTGGTGTTACGCCAGATTTGCAAGAGCTTGACAGCTGAAACATTTATCCAGGACATATCGTCCAGCTTTGTATTCAGCTCCATTTCTCTTAAACTCAAAGCTCTGTTGCTTTGTCTTGCTCCCACTGACTTTATTTCAGACCTTGCGTGAATCACTGCCCCAATGCAACAAGAATGCTCAAACGATTTTGATGCTCAAATGATTAATGTGTATGCCGCCAGCATACAGCAGGGGAAGTGCAAGTTTCCTCTGAAGTGTGTAACCACCGCTTTTTCGGCTGCCTTGTATTTCCTCTATAATATTACTGCTTCTGCCACTACACACTTTTTACTTGCTGAATGACAGCGTTCTCTCACAGTTCAAGCTTTTAACTGCCTCAGAGAATTGTGACTCATTAAATCAAAGCAGCAGACTTAGAAAAGAAAAGGAAATTTCATTAGTGCTAAATAAATCGGAAATAATTTTCAGCTAACGCTAACTTGGTTTAGTCTAGAAATCTTCCAAAGTGGTTATTATTAGTCATTTAGTGTTACAGATCTATAATTGTCTTTTACTGTAGAGGGAATCAGGCTTTTAATAGGCAGACTTTTGTTTTTAATTCCCCAGTTCTATAAAGATAGCATAATATATTATATTGTAATTGAAAGCCTCTCTGTTCATCACTGCTGATACCAATGCAAGGCAACTTTTTCAACACAGATCTCAGCTCAATGCCATCATAATTTTATATTAGACATATGAAGGACATGTATTTTTCACTGATAATTTTTCAGTGAGTGAATAAATAATTTAAAGTTATATAAAAACGTAATGCTATCAATACTTGCAAGTGTATGGGCAATGACCATAGTACAGAAAAGTACATAAAAGTTCAGAAGATATGTGATCTGAAACACTATTCTGAATAGCATACACTATGTTGATATTATATATCGTACATTTGTAGTATATCAATATTATATATCATATCTTTATTTTATGTTTGTGCATGCATGTATATAAATATATATATATATATATATAGAGAGAGAGAGAGAGATAAGATGTATTTATATATATATATATATATATATATATATATATATACATGCATGCACAAGCATAATGTAAAGATATGATATATAATATCAATCTACTACGTATTATCAAATGTATGATATATAATATCAACATAGTATGTATATACCTCTTATATATATCTTATGTATATACCTCTTAAATAGTTATATATGATGCTAGACATAAATCCTTCTCTGGCTTTATTTCTACATTATTACTACTGTATTGTTACTGCTATTATTGTTATTATAATATTATGATGTGCTAGTATTATGGTTGCTATTATTATTATATAATTATTATTAATAAAAATAACTGTATAATTGTTATAAAATTATCATAATTTCATCAGTATGTTTTACCACCATTTTATGCACACTCTATTCTCCAAGCACAATAGGAGAATATCTGCTCCTCATTTGAGCAACTTCTACTTCCTGGAGTTTTAGTGCTGCAGTAGAATGAATGGCAGTGAATTGTGTCTTTTAAAGGAGAGTTTTAGTTCAATCTGTCCAAGTAAAACGTTGAATTAATGCCTGGTAGCTGTACACCTCCACTAGTTGCTGATGACATTTACATTTGAGAGTAAAAAAGGGGATTAATAAGAGGTATTGAGTGTAGTGTTTTTTAAAAAAGTCATGAGTTCTGGCTAAAACTGGTGTTGTGAGGTCACAGTGACCTTGAACATTCAGTCTTCCATCAAAGCAAACTATTTAAGAGATCCCCTCAAGGTGTTTCTGAGATGTAACCACCAAAATCCAATCCGTTCATCTTTGAGTCCAAGTAAATCTTTGCACTAAATGTGAGGAGATTCCTACATAGCATTCTAAAAACACATTGCCTTAGGTTCCAGCTGTCGCCAGCAAGGAGCCATACAAAAGAGATGGTCACGCTAGACTATCAGCTGATGTTCCCACAATGACTGAAACAACAAGTCAAATAGAGCAGAGGACAAAAAGATTGATGTTTGAAATCGAGCTGAGTCATCATTACATCAGTAACGTTAACACTGGTGATCATAGTGCAGGGGAAGCCAAACTGGAAGAAAATGGATCATGGGAGAAAAGCTCCATTTTATCTCATTCCAGAGCTTGCTGCTTAGATCCTGCTCAGATGGCTGAGTAACACCCTGCATCCCCAGCGCTCGCACAAACCAGTTTCATCAGCAAGTCACTGAAGTAAGAATTAACAGAGCAACTGAGGGGAAAGGGTTTATGGAGGAAAGGTTAATAAAGGCTAAGATCACTGTGCGACTGAAAGATGAGAAGACAGACGAGATGAGACAGTGGGAAGGATTGAAAAGGGGCGAGAGGGAAAAAACAGATTGGCTATTTGATAAGTGGGCATTTTGTGTGTGTGTTGGTGTGTGTGTGTGAGTCACCCATCCCTACATGTAGGACTTTTGTCACTGAAGGTGATTTCAGAGCGTCACCATACCATGGGAGCAATCTCACAACATCCACCTCTGACAAAAGTGTTTCTGTTCCGACAGCTAAATACCTTCACACTTGCAGATTTTGAACACATGTACACAACTGAGTTGTTGTGTATTGTAATGTTGCCAGCTCATCTGAAAAATAATTCATAATGAATGTCTTCTTATTCAGAATCCCTCTGTGTATCCTCTTGATTCAGGGAGATTGCCAGGCTGCTGTGAATAGACTGGTGTTTTTTACACCCACATTGTGGGTGTCTTAGTGATTTGAACATACAGCAGTGGGGATAGATAGCAGCATTCAATGCAGTATAATTCCCTGTAGGAAGTAGCTAGATATAGCACATAATCTTTGGCTTTTGCTGAGACTAGAAGAGTTTGATTTAACTCGATCGCTCTTAGGTTGTTCACTTAGCGGCATACATTTTGTGTGTGGTCTGCAGAGGGGCATCTTTGTGTATGCAAAGTCTTCGCTTGTGCCATACCTGCATCCAGCAGACATCGAGAGGCATTTGCATTCATTTCTATCTGAAACCCAACATCTATTCTTCATATATCAGGCTGATACAGACCAAGGCCCTGTCCCAATTCCTCTCCCTTGGCCCTACCCCCAGATATGAAGTGCCCTTTGCTGGGAGTGTCGCCGTCCAAACAGAGCCACATGAGAGTTGGCTAGAAAACCCTCCCCTAGGAATTGGGACACCACTCGCTACGTCATTAGCAGCCAACCAACGTTAGTAAAGTGAGAAACAATATCAAGCACCGATATTATATCAACAACCGTTATCAACCAACATTATAACATGTGATTACTGCAGGACAGACAGGACAGATTGATCTATTAATCAATACACTGTCAGTCAGTGTGTTTACATCGGTTATTTTAATGTATCATAAGTTCTGTTCATAGAAACTTCTGCTCCGCACTGAAAATGTTATAACATGAGCTGGAAAGTTTTATTCAAACTTCATATACAGGACATGGGGGTAACAAACGTTACACGCTACTCTCACTCTGTTAACAGAGTGTGAATAAAACTGTGTACAGGCTTGTTTTGATGCTGTGAATAGTGATTTTCCTGAAATGCTTGTCACAGCTATTGGTTAAAATGAGATGTTCTGCTGGATAAAAAAAAAAAAAAAAATCATGGTTATTTTGCAAGATTTCATACTCACATTTATGAGCATTTCACCCGCAGCGGTCACCAGGTTCATCTGCTTCGTGCTTTCGCAAAGCATTCTGGAATTTCCATCTGCCCCTTCAGGGGTGAATTGGGACCGAGCACAAGGGGTTGATGGTGGAGACATGCACCAGCACCTGAGGATAAAAAACTTTCTCTATCCGCTTATACTGAGTAGGTAGTGTTTACAGTGGTTTGATCAAAGCTTTTTCACTGGCACCAAACACATTCAAGATGAGTTTTGTGGGCTGGAAAATCAAAACAATGAGCTAATTGAGGCTTTGGAGCCACGTAGAGCTGAAGAGCTACTGTTATTTCTCTGCGGGTTTGTTACTGCAAATTGTCGCTTTTCCCATCATATAGAGTCCTTTGATCACTTGTTGTATTACAGAGCACGATTCAAAATTTCTATCAGTTAATATGTTTTTCGTTTCTTTCCCTCATTCCAGCAAAAACACAGTAAATCAATGAGAAATCCAAATTAAATATGCTGCCTGTCAACACCACTATCAAAAGGAAGACATGATTAGACGGTGCCACCCAAAACCATTCCAAAACATTTTTGGATATATTTTGGGCCTGTGGGCCTTCATCAGATAGTGGGGAGAGAAAATTGTAGGGGAGAAATGAGTGGGAGGACATGCAGTAAACGACTCAACCTTTATGTGAAGATATAGCTGAAGTGTACCCTGGTGCTTGGCAACTTTTGAAGCTGTTCAGTGATGTGTAACTCAAACAGACCTGCTGTAGCTTCTACAGAACTTTTATTCGCAGAATTCAAAATGTTGCCGCGCCCCCCCCCCGAACTAATACTGCTAATTTACCCCCAATGAAGAAATCAGTATTAAATGTGACAAGCTGACTTGACTAAAGTGCTTTCACAAAACTGAGGGATGGAGAACTGCTGGGAGCATCAAGTGCTCCACAGGAATCTCTTTTTAAAAATGCATGACTCTGAGGGCTCGGAGATCCTGCACTGCGAAGAGCTTTGATTGGTCAAAACCAGTCTTTATCAAACTCCGGACTTGTATTTCATTCACCTGTGCTGTAAAATCCTGGCGATAAAATCTTAACTCCATTAAGGTCATCAGCCAGGTGTTTATCTGAATGCTAAGCATCCAAAAGGACTCCCCTGTTGCTCTTATTCTGTGATCCTATTGTAGCTTACATCCCATTAGTATTCAGCTCTACTCAATCTCTTCCTTACTTGAACCTTCTTCCTCACATCTGTTTTTAGCTCCCTCTCTGCGTCAACATCACCTTCTTTAAAAGCATTTGTCATTGTACATATCAGACCATTGTTGTCTTTGGAGATCTTTTGTTTGTTGTTAAGAGAAATCTTAACTTCATAGGTAAGAACCTCCGTCTTAGCAAAAAGAGACATACGCATCATGTCTTTAAGTTCATCGATATCAGAGACGTTCTCCTGAAATACTGAGCGCTTTGTTCAGTTCGAACAACCCTGGAGGTTGCGGAGTATAAATAGTCTACCTCCTCCTCAGCACAGATCTACATGTAGAGTTCTGATGGGAGGAAGGAGTGGGTGGAGATGGAGCCAAAACATAGGTCCAGAGTTTAGTTGTGACTGGATGTCTAACCCATTTAATGATTTTAAGAAGAACCACCACACTGCTAGCTGCCACAAGAGCAGACTCCAGAGTTATATTTGTGTTCCTCATTAAAATGACTGAATTGATGTTTTTTGCCACTTGGAACACATCTGGCACATCACATGTTTATACATCCAAAAGAGATGGGGCAACATTTGTATCCATTTTGAGTAATCTTTCTAGCCAACTGATGAGTGCCAGTACAATGTTTACTCCCATTCCCTTCAGCTCTTCATTCTCTTTAGAGGTTAGATGTTCAGGCTTCTGCCATAATGACTGATAGAGGGAGGTAGTGAACGATGAGTTTGTTCAGAGATTTTACCCTGAAAATAGTTTCTTGCTCCTGGGAATAAAGTAGAAAAGAATGGAAGCTGCTGATAAATTGCTCTATCACTCAGTTTGTTACAATTATCTGTGGGTGTATCTCAATGGACAGCACCTCTCACAGCACGCTAGATTTTGTAATGGAGTGTGATACTAAAAGTATTGATTGCTTGAATTTTATCTCTACGGTTCAAATTAGATCATTCAAAGCAGATGAAACTAACAAATAAAGCACAGGCCCAGCCTAATTCTGTGTGCCCTGATCTAAAGTGCCAATCTAGACAGTGGGTTGATATACCCGTGCACTATATAGTCGATTTTAAAGACACTGCCAAATGCTTGTTTAAAATAAGATAAAATAAGTTAATTTAAGTTTATTAGTCCCACAACAGGGAAATGTGCAGTGTTACAGCAGCAAGAGCGCAGTCAAAAATACATCAGTAAGTGATCCTAGTCACTGAGCATTACAAACCTGCACCACACTCTGAGATATTACAAAAATATCAAAAGTAATACAAATCTGTCAACAATTGTTTCATGTATCCCCCTGAATATAATTTAGCTCTAGCTGCAGGAAACGGATAATTTACGTGATTCTTTTCTTATCTTCTGACTTCTGAGTAGAGGTAAAGCTGTCACTGTGTGGTAGTTTTAATCAGGATATTTGACCTTCTTTTTCCCACATTAGCTATTATCCTTCTGTTGGACTTCGGGCAAAAAAAAAAAAAAAAACCTGGAGCTGGTTCAATTTGTCAGGCCAAGTTGGCAGGCTATTTAAACTGGCTGAACATCGAGGTGTAAATCTGAGGTGACATCCAGAGAGCTGTGATTCATATGACCAGCTCTCATCTTTATCTCTGTTTCTCCAGCTCTTGTCTCTGCTTCCTCCTTCCTCCTCTCGCGCTCACTCGAGCCACTTTACCTGTCCTCTCCTCCACATCCTCCATCTCTTTAATGGCCCCAACAGACACAGTGTATCATTAGGAGAGAGAGCAGCGGGCCTTCCTGATGAGATGTTGGCTGATTAGTTGGCAGGACTCAGATTGTCCTGGAGACTGTGTTCCTCGGAGATTAAGCAACCTTCATGCCATCTTTGTAGCAAGAAACAATCAAGTTCAATCTTGCACACACAAACACACGCACATATGCATCTTATGGCACATTTGTAATTCTCACCTTTATATTAAAGTGTGTACCCAGTACATATGGCTCCTTTTGGATAGAGGGAAACAATTGAGCTTTCATTGAAACATGATCTTAATCCTAGCTATATGTCAGTTTACAACCTTAAAGGTACAGTGTCTCCTTCCAAACATGAAAAAGAACCTGTTGTAGTCTTTAATTGTCATAAAAACTCAAAAGGTGTTTAGTTTGTCAAGGCTGGACTTATGACAAAAACATGAGAGGGTCCCCTCGATGTAAATGTAAAGTATTTAAATATAAAGGGCCTTTTCTGGGGTAAAGAAAACTACAATTCATACAATTTAGATGAAATGAACTAGTGAAAACATCATGAAGATTATTCTACATTAAATATCTGTCAATAGTTCCCTTTCACCTAAATCTTACACACTGGACCTTTAACTTCAAAAAGCAGAGATTAAATCCTGAAGTTATCAAACTGGACAATCAATCCCTCAACTTCCCCTTCCAGGTACAATCCATGAAAATATCTAAATACGTGACAAAGCCCAACCCTGGAAGATCACACCAGAACATCTTGACTTCTTGCCCCAAGAAACATATTATAAGCTCACGATCCTCTGAATATCTGCTGCACTCCTCCACAACCAGGACAGCGCTACGAACAAATGAAAGGAGTCATTGCTGTAGTCAGCCTTCATCGAATGTTTCCATTCATCTTTCTCTCATGTACTTCCTGGTTTTATAATCGAAAACACCATTTAAATAAAGATGTGCACTTTTATTTTGATCTACCACAGGCCTGTCTATCTTTTATTTTAATTCAAAACCACCTTAGTCTGGACTCATGCCCATGCTCATGTCTGTTATGCACATCTGACCAACCACCTGCTTCCCTGATTTACCACTGAAGTTACTGTCAAACCCCCTCTGGCTCTGTCTGACTGACTCCTTCCCTCTTTGTCTCTCTATGTCTCTCGCCCTGTTGCAGGCCAGCTCCTAAGACTTCGTCAGAGCAGGACAGCAGCAGTGAGAAGAAGGAACGTCCCATGAGCACCATGAGCGAGGCTTCAAACTACACAGGTGGCTCCGACTACAGCACCTTTCCTGGCAGCCCCACCACCACGGTCACGACAGCCACCACCACCACCTGTACATCATCCACACGGGTCAGTCTCCAGCCAAACCTTACTTCAATGTTAGACGTAGCTCTGCTGAAATTTAAACCTCTGATGTTAAAGACCAGGGCTCATAAAAATTTTAATGATGCATGTGATTATGATCCCATTCTTTTCTAATAAAGTTACATTTATGAAGTATCTTAAGCAGACATTGGAACGAGGGAAAGGCTGGTTGGCTGGGAGGTTGATATATTTTTCTTTAGTGTTCCAGGATATATATTTCACTTTATTAAGAACCTGCAATGTGTAACAGTTCAATATATAAAAACCTGCAGATACAGATCATTGCTCAGGAACCTAAGAAGTGCAGTGTCAAGTGTGAAGTTGGTCAGATGAGGCTTGAAAGAAATCTGCAACCTGGATTTATGCAGGGCAAACAATCAGATATGTTTATTTTGTATCATATATTATCATTAATTGTTTTACTGACTTGAGGATGAGTGAGCTGATGAAGTTTAAAATGATAATCCAGTGTAGGGGATGGATGACAACATGCACGATGTTCAATAAAGAAGAGGTTACAAGGTATGATGCGACAAATGAGACATATTTACCTTCCAGTGGATTCTCTGGGTGTCACTAATGCAGTGCTCGAAACCATCATTTTGTCTCCGCAGGTTAAATGGCAGTTGCTCAGAAATAGTCCCTCATCCAATACATAACCCACCATTTAGTGTTGAGCTGTCATATTTACACTCCAGTTGTTTCTTTCTTTCTTGAATTAATCAAACCAACAAAATATGGCATATTATTGTGAGCTTTAAGGGTTCTGGTTGGCTTTTGGATCCTTTGGACAGAGTGAGGTTCACTGTTCCGCTTGTTTCCAGTCTTTGTGCTAAGCTAAGCTAGCTGGTGAAATGAGACTGTTGTTAATATTCTCATCCAACTCTCTACCAGAAAAAGAAAACGTTTCCCAAAATGTCCGACTATTGAGTTAATAGCATGTGACATCATCCAAAAGAAGTGGCTTCTCTGGTTCAATACGTTTTCAACGGCACTGTTTGAGCTGATTTATCTTTTCAATAATGTTGCAGGTTAACCTCAGGACATAAACATCCCTTGCATTTAGCACTTAGTGTCCTGGAATGGGTCACCGCTCCATTAGATTCTACAACGTGTGCATTTATAAATGCTTAATAAACCACACAAACTCACAGGAAATAAATATGCATGGGTAGATTAAATCAGAAGTTTTCATGAATAACTGATGCGTTACTTCTGCTTGAACTGGCCAAAAGAAATCATAACACTGCATAGTTTCATTTATTCATTAGAAGTCATTATTTATGGGCTTAACATCTTGACTAGAACCACACACAGGCTGTGTGAAGAGGAGGAAGTAGAAGATGAAGCATTTCTGGGGAAAAAAAAGGTCATAAAAGCCGGAAAGTAGCTGATCATATTTTGAGTGTAAATAATTGAATAGTTTGTGTTTACTTTTGCTTAAAATGCTACCATTAATACAACCTAAGGGTAATGATGCTTTGAGCATCTCTATCTCGCTCCATGTATTTATATATCATATCCTGTAGTCTGTGCTTTTCTCTCTGTCCTCATTCTATGTGAATCCAGAGCTACATAATCAAGATCTGACACGGCTGCTCTGTTACATAATCATTACTGTTATTTCTATTAGGAGCTGCTATCAATGCAATTGCTGTTATAATAGCAATCAGTATGAAAGTTTAAATACAGTGACACAACCGTTTTTGGTCTCTCTCTCCTCCATCCCACCCACCTCTTTTCTCTCCCCAAATTATCTAAGATCAATACATGTACTGAAACGCAGAGGAAAATAATTGTCGCACTGGCCACTGCTTTATCTTTACATCTGCATGAGGCAAACAGGGCCCAGGTGCTGGTCTACAGGTCCTGCCACTGCAGGAAACATAACTCTAATGAATACAATCATAACATGAGAACTAAATGAGACTCAACTGTTATCCTATTTGCATTAAATCCAAATTACTTTTTGTTCTACTGCTGATTGCTATAAAATAGTTTGTGCGCTGCTGTGCTACATTTTGAGGAAGTGAGTCTTGATGTATAGAAAATAAAGAATATGCTTAATTTGATCAGCTCTATACAGCTGCCTCTGTGGTAGCTTTTTATAGTTGCTACAAAAAGTCTCCCGGGGAGTTTTCTTGTGCGACTTCTTCATTCAGATATGTGCGTTTCATTATATTCATACAAATTCGCTGATTGTGAGCTGAACGTCATTTTTCTCATTTGTAATTTCACAGCCGTCTAGGTCTTCCAAAAAAATTCACAACTTTGGCAAGAGGTCCAACTCCATCAAGAGGAACCCCAACGCCCCTGTGGTCAAGAGCAACTGGCTGTACAAACAGGTAGAGGGAGAACATCCTACTTCGATATCATGTGTTTGTGTGTAAGATGAGAGTGGATGGACAGAGGACAGCTGTGGGGACAGGCTGCAATGAGGGAGAAGATATTAAAGATGAACTACACACACAGGTAATTATATAGTGCACAGAAAGTAGCAGCTTTATTCACTACACTTTGTGACGCCACATTGAATCACAGGAGATGTCATTTAAAATATATTCGCAAATACATTTATTTGCTTTTGCCTTTGCAAGATTGAGATGAGAATTACTGGCTCTGATCTCATGACTACATTAATGTCAGGGTCTGCCTTTGTTCTGGACATAAAATGACTCTAGTCACGCCTTGACACAATCTGTTTGGACTTGCTTTTTAATTTGTATGGACTTTGAATTTACTTTTCACTCTTTGGACTTAGGCCTTGTTATTTCCTCGTGTTTGCTTTTTGGATTTGGATTTTTTTTTTGTGTCTCAGTTGTTTGTAGTTTGGATTTGTTAGACCCTGTCTTACTTTGGTGGTTTTGACCTCTATAACTTGTCTTTGTCTGGTTTCTCTCCTCTGTGAGTGTCTGCCTGGCCCCGATGTGTTTCATTTGTGATCAATATTCTCTACCCCCTTTATTATGTAGTCACTGTGCTCTGTTTTGTCTGTTCATATAAGATAAGATAAGATTGTATTATTCCCAAAGGAAATTCTTGTGCCAGCTTGCTCCAGGATTACAGTACTGAACAATATAAAGTAGATATAGAATACAGTTAAAAAAAAAAAATATATATATATATATATATGTTCGTGTTTGTTCATGTTCAGTTTCCCTTTTTTATTCCAGCTTATTGTGTTTTTTTCCCTTTGCTCTGGTACTGTACCGGAGTAATGGACTTTATTTCCCTGTTTCCTATTCATCATCTGCCTTTGGGTCCCGCTGGCTAGAACCTTCATAGTTAACTTAGTATGAAGCCTGAAAGCAGGGGAAACAGCTAGCCCCTTAAATTAAGTTAACGTATTCCATTTTATCTAGATCAGTGGTGTCAAACTCAATCACAGAGAGGGCCAAAATTAAAAACTGGGACTACGTCGCATTTAGATGAAACGAACTAGTGAAAACATCACGAACATTATTCTACAATAAATTTCTGACAATAGTTCCCTTTCAGCTAAGTCTTACACACTAGACCTTTAACTGAATACCCCTAGCAGCTGATACGAAGATTGCTGACAGGAATTCAATGTCGGGCTGAATGAGTAAGAATAGCATTTTGGTCTTATTATCTGACTGTGTAAAGAATAGAAGGGTGGTCTGACTGTCAGATGTGGACTGTGGGTATAAGCCTGCCACTGGCTGCCATTGTTAGCCAGAATTCTCTTTCACTGTTTTCAAAATCCCTTTCGCGACAGGAAAAAATAAAAACTGCCAAGCTTTTTCTACATCACATGTCATTTAGTGGACGCTTTCATCCAAAGCGACTTACAATTAGTTAATTCAACATCTATGAGACGCCATTTAGGGCTTCAGTTTCTTGCTCAAGGACACTGCGGCATGCAAATGGGGAAGACCGAAGATTGAACTGCCATCCTTCTGTTTGAAGGATGAAAAAATGGAGAGTTGGACTTGGATCATCCAATGAAACTTCCCTCCTGACATATCTTGCAAGGGCCCTACTGCTGCATCCTGGACATAGGTTCAACCAAGATGATTATGGTTATGTTCTGTTTTTATCCACAATAGCAAAATGATGTGCAACCCATGAGTTCAATTGGGATTTATGTGGGGATCTCTGTGGTTTCAGGGTTGTCATGGCTTCATATGTATGGCAGCATATTGAACTGAAATTGCCAAAGACTTTTAATGAAACCCATGACAGAAACAAGGGAGACCCTGTGGTTGCTCCGATGTTCACCATGATGTTCTTCACTTCACCAGGGCTTTCCTCAAGGACGACAGACTAGCACTGCATGGTGGGGAAAACTGGCAACACGTTTTGGCCCAAGTTTGGTCCCTCTTTAAGCCATTATTCCGTCATACACACTGATGTTGATAAATGCATGTTTTAATGGGTTTCCACCTGTAGTGAATTACTGTAAAGGAGAATTAGGAATTTAAAAAATGAAGATAGAATATTTACTTTGTGTCTCTCATGGCGGGAGATAATGACTCAGTGTGTGTGTGTGTGCAGACCAGGCCCAGCAGGACAAGACAGAGAATCAGGGCAAATTAAATAAAACCAGGTTTCGTATTATATAATAAATAAATACAATAAATATACTATATTTAGTTCTGTTCTCTAATAGAAAACATGCCTCATATAAAGGAAACTATAAAATCTTGTCACCTTCTGCAGTCAGTTGAGTTGAGTAGTAAAGTAGTAGCTGGACTTCACTGAGCGCTTGGTTTAGTTGACATTTCTGCATCTTTAAATCATTGTTCGATAAAGTGGGAACCAGAAAAGTATATATTTATATTGTAGGGATGGTGAAGGTTTAGTGTTGGTCTATATGAGAACCTTTTCTGGGGCTCAGTGCTGGCACGAATCAGTGAGACGTGCCGCGTCCTGCCGCTGCCACAGAAACTGAGGATCCTGCTCCTGTTGCAGGGTTTGACTGGATGTTCGCTCCTCTCTCATTACTTTTCTGCCTATTCACTGCAGGCTGATTTATCGTGGGTCAGGGTGAACTCTGACCATCGGACACTCTGCTGGAGACCGCCTCAGCCCTGTTGTCACACCTCTGTCAATAACCTCCCTCTCAGCCTCATCCTCTGTATTCACATTGAAACAGGAATTGATTCACTTCACACCAGAAAAAAAGCCCCCGTGGGGGGGGGAGAGGTGTGTGTTACTCTTTGGCCACTGCAAACACTGCTAAAGACCCGAGTGGAATGAGCAAATGGGCTCTGAAGCTTGTTAGTGTCGCTGCAGTCAGACGGCGCCAGCGAGGGGAGGGGGGGGAAAAGAGTGGAGTGTGGAGAACAAAGCACAGACCTTCGCCCTGAGCACCACAGAGGCAAATTTGTAAGTGCGTTATGTAGCGATAAAACAAAACAATTGTCTCAGAGGAGGAGATGGAAGCTGTTAACAGAGGCAGCCAGAGGGTGTCAAGAGGAGGGAAGTGAGAGGAGATCAAACTGTGTGTGTGTGTGTGAGAGAGGATTTATAGTTCTCTGTAATTACTACTCTTTGGTTGACGGTCTATGATTTTTAACCCCTACAGGACAGCACGGGCATGAAGCTGTGGAAGAAGAGGTGGTTCGCGCTGTCCGACATGTGCCTCTTCTACTACCGTGGTGAATACACACACCCACGCACACACACAGGATCATTACATAGACATGCATTCTCCTTGAGACTCATCCTAACCTTAACCATTGACCCAACATTCAGTTTTTACCCGATGGACTAATACTCAGCATCAGCAGCTACACTGTGTTCTGGTTAAGGTTGGCACTGTCCCCTAGGTCAGTTCTCTGTTCCTCACCCATCTTTGTGTTATATGATCAACCATTGTTCAGCAAAAGGAGATGAGGGTTGTGGGTCTCTTGTGCAATAAGTTTCCCTTAAGCCCCATCATTTTAGTTCTTATTGTACTTGTGGTGTTTACAGTGTCACCAGATACATTGATGTTTTTTTATCAAATTACCACAAAGTAGCTGCCACACAGTAAATCTGGAGTCACCTTATAAGATCAGATACCACTTGAGGTAAATGTTATTTGGTAATTTGGGGGAAGAGAGGCTCAAGTGAAGAGGTGATGAGAAGATAACGGATCTTAAGTTGATCAAGAGCAAAGTAACACAATCTTATTGGTAAAATCAAGTGGTCAAGTGCGCTTGTCATTTAAAAGTAGTCGACCTTGCTTTCACCCACAGTTGTGCTGCGGCACGCCCGCGCTGCTGCGCTAACTTAGAACTTCACATTCGAGCAAAAGCTCATCTGTTTCTCCTTCATGTCTCCTAAATCCTTGAGAGTGATTTTTCCATCTCCTTAAATTGACAAATTAGCCGCTCCCAGAGAGCAATCAGGAGCCGCTTTCATGAAAACACCCAGGGGAGAATTGGATGTTTACTGGCTGAGCCAGCCCGAGACGAGAGAGAGAACGCGAAGGACAATGACGTGCTCAGCTCTCTGATAACAACATTTTCTTTTTCATTTTTCTCCTCATTGTTGCTGGTTGGGAGCTTTTCATATAGAGTTGTTGTACATTTTGTCTGAGCAAGAATGATAAGCATCCCTCCTGCGGCAATTATTTAAAACCAGAGTGAGGTGATATGGGATGACTTCACAATTGTAGACAGTAAATGTTGTTGTAGAGAGCATTTAGGCACCTAATATACTTGGCTGAGAACCATCAGGGTGGTAGAAAGCGTCCGGCTGCCCAAAAACTAGTCGCACTGTTGCACCGCAATGCTGCCATGTGATTGGCTAATGAATAATCGGTCCCTTTAATCAAACTTTTCGCTTAATCCGAGTATTGCCAGTTACAGTGTGCAGTGTAGAAGGGAACTTATCTGAACACAGTAAGAACCTTGAAATGTCAGTTGCCCTAAAGAACACCCACTCACACGGTTCATGTGTTTGGCAGCGGAGGCAGCGCTGTGTACCTACAACATCTCTCCACATACCAACTTACTCATTCCCTCTCTTTCTTGCTTATTTTCCCCGTGCGTGTGTTCTTGTATCTCAATAATTCACCAGCAGCTATGGGGCTGGAGGAGATGCAGGACCCACTGTGCAGGCTCAGCTAAATCAAACAGCCGCACTGACTGCCAGGCTTTGTAGGTCTTTGCTGCAGCAGCGGACACGTATCTGCTGGCACCACACTGCCTACAGTTTGCATCTCCCATCAAAAATCATCAGGCTGTACAAAGTGCAGAGGTGATGAAATAATGCCTTTTAAGTTATCTTATATCTTATATTGACTAAGATATCACAAACAAGTAATATAACAAGCAAGTAATAACAGTGGCTGGCAGTAGTTTGTACTGTCACCTCACAGAAAAGGAGGTTCTGACTTCAAACCCCAGTTTTGGCGTCATCTTCCCAAAAACAATGAGCATAAAAGTTAATGGAAGTCCCCAATTTAACACCAAAATTTCCACCCTGTTACAAGTCCAAGCTCTTCAATGTGTCTCATCTACAGCCTCATTTTAAACAGATGAATCCATATCTCCACTGCACCTAAGCCAGAACGTAACACTACTTTAATTTTATATTAACACACTCTTCTGACTTTTCTATTTCTCATGTGCAGATGAGAAAGAGGACAGCATCCTGGGAAGTATCCTGCTGCCCAGCTTTCACATCTCCATGTTGTCCGTGGACGACCACATCAGCAGGAAATACGCCTTTAAGGTAAATAGTGTCTGGTTTAGACATTACGTCTTCCAGTCCTCCGTAGTTTTTCAATCAGTGGTTGTGATGATTTCAAATGGTTTATTTAATCTTTCACCCTGGCTGGTTGACAAAGCTGAAAAGAGTCACCACACAACAGCAGCATGTTGTTCATAAACTGTACAGACTGTTTTAGAGGAAGAGCTCAGTATTATGGGAAGTTTGCGTATTTGCTTTTTGTTAAATTGCTTTTTGAGAAGATTCATTTTATTGTCACGTCTCTGTGTTAAATGCAGAGTCGGGACATTGGAAGCTTTTCTTAGCATAGAGACCAGAAGCTTGGCGACACAGCGAGCCTGGCTTTGTTTAAGTTCAACGATAGATTCACCGTGTCCTCAGGTTAATGGTGTAAAATATGGAGGCAAAGTGAAATCACAGAAAGGTGGAAGACATATTATTTTAATATGACTATGGACACACAATGTTGGAGAAATGTGGCATGGGAGGGTCTCCTAAATCGTTCAGCCATCAAGCACATTTTTCTATATTATTACTCGTGTAGCATCTCTGGCTCTAGCATGGACTGCCATATACAATCAATGACCACAGATTTAAGCTCATTAAGGGTATGATGGTAACCTGGCAGCCTCACTACAACAGCAGGACTCTGTATGTATGGGTCACTGCACTGAAAATAGTAAATAGAAAATATCTAATTTGTTTCCTGAATCCACAATCAACAAAGATTATATTTGTGACCTTTAGAAATATTGGAATGCATGAGACGTCACTTTGCATCGTCAGGCAATCTGTTTTATGCTAAGGTATGCTACAATAGCCTGACCCTAGTTCTGTGCTTCTGATATTGCATCTGAAATAGGTGCAGCAAATGTCTTAAGAAATGTTGAACTGCTCTATTAGGTTGTGAATTTACTTTACTGAGATTTATCTATCAAGTAAATCTGTTTGGTTGCATAATAAAAGTGAAGGAGTAAGGACATATGTACGATATAATCAAGCACCTACACACGCAGTAGGTTGTTAGATACATGCCTCAGTGTCATTCTTACATACACAGCTTTGCCAAGATACATAAAGAAACCTTGGAGACTTTCCCGCTTTTCACATTGAGACATATGGAGTGGAAGCCAGGGAGCACACACATACAGCTGCAAACATACGCACACAAACACACACACACACACACACACACACACACAATCATACAGTACACAATCACACTCCTCTGCTAGCTGGAATAATATAAAGACCTCATGCTGGAATCTCAAGGTCAGCATCCAAAGCTGCTGCTGCTCCGCTGCTATATATCCTAAAATCTCTCTCTCTCTCTCTTTCTCTCTCTCTCTTGCTTCGTTGCCAGGCTACTCATCCCAACATGCGGACGTATTATTTCTGCACCGACACAGCCAAAGAGATGGAGTCCTGGATGAAAGTCATGACGGATGCTGCCCTCGTCCACTCTGAACCAGTCAGAAGGTCGGTGCTCACCACAGATTAAACTTTCCTGGATTCCCCAAAATCACACATAATAACTGAATGCTGTCACCTGGACACGTTACACTAAATAACACTGTTACCATTGAAAGCACAGAAAGTGTACAAAAATCCAATAATATTAAATATTGCATGATTATGAATTCTGCATAATGTTGGCCTCATTAAAAAAAAATTCAAATATATAAATTTTCTCTCTTACTGTAATCAGTCACAGATTTAATGCACCACCCAGTAAGCACACTAATGTGGTGGACAATACCTTCTACATAGGTTTTCTCAGCATAACCATCTGCTAAGCAGCAAATAAACACATTTAGCCAAAGAGCAAGTGATGTTTTTTTAAACCAGTTTGACTGGTGATCCCATCACACATGGACAGCATTAAGTACTGGTGACAAGCGTTGGGTTCACATTCCCTGGGGGACATTCACACCTCAAGCTGTCCACTTGGGATCGGATTACCCAAGACAGATGTTAGGTCAGCTGAACAGGGCCTGTGGGTCTGAGGGATTTAATCAGAAATGTGTGTTCAATGGAACATGGGTGCGTTCACACTTTTATTTAGAGCAGTCGGCTGTCAAGTTTTTCCTGGCAGAGATCACACTTATAAGAAGTGTGAGGCCTAAAAGTAAAAAGCAAGCAAGAGCAAGACTGAAGTGCTGTTGAACAAACACAGAACCTCTGACACTAAATTTGTCTTTGAAATCTCTGTAAAAACCTCCTTCTGTTATGCTTTGTCGCATTTCCCTTTTGGATTCTGACTCTTTGTCTCTTCCCAGATCGGACAAGTTGAAAGTGGACCAGCGAGCACCTCAGGAGTTGAACAACTTACTAAACCACAGAGTTTTAACTCGGCCTGAGATTCAGAACAACGAACGCAACCGAGAACCCGTGCGGCAACACTCCCTCTCTCAGGCCGACGACAAATGGCAAAAAGACGTAGAGAAACACAACGGCCAGAGGGAACGTGAATACTACACCTTACAGAGAGATGGTGAGAGGTACTCGCTAAAGAAAGATGGGGTGAGTTATATGCTTCAGAAGGATGGAGAGAAGTTTCTCCTGCATAAGGATGGAGAGAAGTACTTGCTGCGAAAAGACGGCGAGAAATACTCACTGCAGAAAGATGGAGAGGTATACACCATTCACAGGGATCTGGAGAAGTACGCTGTACAGAAGGTGGGTGAAAAGTACACGGTGGCATCAACAGAGGAGAAATATGCTCCACCGAAAGACGGGGAGAAGTATTTGCTTACGAAGGATGGAGAAAAATATGCACTGCAGAAAGTCGGCGACAGGCACACGCTGAAAAAAGAAGGACAGAAATATGTTCCTCAAAAGGAAGTGAAGAGACAGCTGTCACTAAAGGAGACCGACAGGTACGCCACAATGCGGGAGATGGAGAATAAATATGGTACCATACATGTTATGGACAAATACGGCACTATGAGGGCAGTGAAGAAATACAGTACACTACGAGAAGGAGATAAATATGCTACTCTCCGAGAAGCAGAGAAGTATGCTACAGTCCGTGACAGTGATAAATATGGCTTCCAGAGGGACCCAAGCGGAGAGAGGTCTCTGACTAAAATCAGCAGCATCAAGTTGCAGCCGGCTCAAGCTGCCGCCATCGCAGCGGCTGTGTCTGAATCTCGCCAGGCCAACCTGAATGTCCAAAAGCCCACGAAGGTTAACAGCTTGGGGCCCGTGGCAGGGGAGCAGACTGCGGACTGCACCGCGGCAGATGTGGATGGCAGCGTTGCCAGGGTTCCAATAAAGTCCCCTGTCCCAGTGCCGGAGCCAGAGAAGGGCCTGTCCAGGACAAACTCCATGCAGCAGCTGGAGCACTGGGTCCGCACACACAGATCAAGAGGACTGGATGATGACACCAGGAGGTGAGACTGACTGACTGTGTGTTTCTGTAATTGTATTATTCTTTCTTGGAAACATTTTGGGATCCCAAAATGTTGTTTAGTCCAGTTGTCTCCTCTCTAAGGTTCTACGATGGAACTACTTTCGGTGGCAGCCAAGCCTCAGAGGTGCTGCAGCCATTTGTTGATTTCCTGACCTTAATAGTCTCTTTTATCTGTGTTGTAAATTACAGTGCACGAGAGAGGGATTCATTTAAATCTAGTTTTTGGTATTTGCACTGAGAATAGAACCATATCTGTTTTTGAAGCCAAATGGCTTTACCAATTGCAACAAACTAAAAACTGAGAGCAAATACACTGTAACAAGGTCATGTTTAAAACACTTAATAATAAATTAGATGCTCTCCAGCCAATAGACACTAGATGTCGTTAAAAAAACATTAATGTGTTTGAAGCTGGAGCATTCAAACATACAAATCAGTCTGAACAATAAATGAATGTAGTTGATCCTCAGAGTGTTGTTCTCAGAGGTCCTATCGATTTGAGAAGTGTCAGAACAGGGTGTTGCGTTAACCTTAATTAAATCACATGCACGTGACAGCAGGCTACAGTCAGAACTACCAAACAACAATCCACACACCCGACCGATCTTTTACCACTGCGTGTTCTTTTGTTTGTGAGGGAATAATAGAATACTCAGATCTGCAGGAGTTGTCATTTTGAAACGTTTTCTTCATGCATAACAAAGCAAATGCTGCTGTGTCATATTTTAAAATATGTTATTTTAGTTAGAGTGTGAAATTCAGTTGAATTATGACTGATCATTTGCACCAATAGAGGATTGGGACACAATGGGCCGGGCCCTTGGGTTCGGGCTCGGACTCCGATGGACCAAGGTTGAGTTTGTATTTATCTGTTATTGGTTTCTGCCCTCACTGTAATAATGAACTGTTTAAGAGGACACCACCTGCCTCTGTCTGCAGATTTGAAGTTCATTTCCTGTTGCTCTGCACCATTTTGTTTTACCGATTCAACAAACCAATCTCTAGCAAGTCAAGCAGATGTCATCTACAAAAGCTGTGGTAGCAGTCACTACAAGGAGCTACTTAATGCTTGTAATGAGTTTTTTAATCGACTTACAGCAGCCGGCACAGCTACACCCACCTCACCCATTGTTGTCATCATTTTCATGTCACTGCTTTTTCATATGTCATGCATATTGCTTGGACGAGTCTTGCTGAATGATGACATCCTACATTTAATCCTGCCTAAAAAGCTCTAATCTGTCAATTGTATCTCCAACGGAAATATTCATCAATGGGCACAAGACACCTATTCAAATCTTTCATCCAGCTGTGGGCAATGATTCAAAGGTCTTAAAGCAGCCTTCAGACTTATCTATAAAGAAATTTTTTTTCTACAATCATCGTATGAGGTCCCATAGTGGCTTTGTATGGTATGTAGGAGGATTTGTTTTTCACCAGCACAGTTTTATTGTACAGATTTCTGTCTTCGCTATCTACAAACAGACATGTCTGCTCCTCCACCAGATTTAAATCATTCTTCCATATCTGGCTGGCTCTGCCATTCCATCTTTCCAGTCCACCCCCTGTTGTTCCCCATGTGTCTCCCCCTTTCCATGCTCCTACCTTGCAGGCCACAGGGAGCTGAAAGCTTTTCGTGTCACCACAGATGTGTATCTCAGCTGGGAATGCTGGTGTTTAGCTGGCATTTAGCTGTTCTGTGCTGAAAAGTACAGCAGAACACACAAGTGCAGAGTGCCGCTACTTTATTTGCTGTGAGCGCTCCCCCTCTCCTTCTGCTCCCATGAATAAGTCATGGAAATGAGACTGTAATGAGAACAGAGCACGCTGAGCGCTGCAGACGCATTTGTCGTCCTCATCGGAACTCAGTACAAAATAGGGAAATTCTGTTGTAGGACTCATTTATATATCTGTGTGTGTGTGTGTGTGTGTGTGTGTGTGTGTGTGTGTGTGTGTGCTGATGTTTCACAATTCAATCCTGCCAAACCACCAGTTGATCCAAAATGAACTAAATACAACTAAAGTAAGCAAGTCTTGAATTTGTAGTTATATGCTGCAGATCTGTTTTGAAATTGGAAAATCATGTGTTAAATAAAATAAATGTTTTCAATATGACCAAGCTTCCAAAAAGCAGGAGCTATCTGCCTCACTGACAGAGAATTTGAGACTAACAGTCTGTAAAGTTTCTGTTGGAGAAACTTTTGTATCCAAAGGAGTAATTAATAATTCATCAAAGTTAATTCATAATCTTGCTGGCTCCGATGTTCTCCTTTGCCAAATATTCCCACAAATATAGAGAGCTTTTAGAATCACTCTCATGGTTTTGGTATCAGCTAAAAAATCATGTTTCGCTAGCAAAATGAAAACTTGGAATGTAAGAAGAAAATCAATAAATTGCCTCAGATGGAAGAAATTGTGATCTCATCTGCTTGGACCTGAATCATGGTAACCTTCCCCTGACTGATCACATTTACTTCTCAGGCTGTTCTAGAGTTGAAACACCAAGGTGGTGTATTTAAGTCAAGACACACCAGGTTATCTTATAGTTGTGAGGTGGAGCAGTGTATCTGTTTCTCACAGAAAATGAGGCAGACAAGTGTGTGACATTGGCTCGGGATTAGCTCTTTCACCCATGGATTGAAAGATAGCGGTGGTGAGTAAATGGAAGGAATTACACTAAAACCTAAGCATTCTGTTGTCATAGTTATACTTTCAAAGAGAATCTGTACTTTATTTCAGTAAAGTGCTACTAAAGCCTGTGATTTATTCAGTGAGCCAATAAGCCCTGTAGTGCTAGTATACACTTGTCTCTACCAGTTGGAGGAACTAATCAATGCTTTTCTAGCAGCATGTTGTTCAAGGTGTTGCATTCATTTGTAAACACTAACGTTGCAAAAGTATAGAAAGGCTGAAATCACCAATCATTGATGGATTGTCAACCTCCACAATTCAAATGTTAGTGAGGTCTGAGAGAGAAGGGGTTTTCTGAAAAGGAAGAACAAGATAACATCTATATTGGGATGCTACAGTATCTTACTGTACCAGAGCCAGAACACCCCTAAGAAAAAAACTAAGAGAACTGGCATCATCTTACAGGAACTACAACCCCTTGTTGTATTCAGTTGTCAGCAAAACTGCTTAACCACTCAGATGAATGCATTAATAGCCGTTGACTGACTATCAGACAGACATTATCAGCCAGCAACAACAGGACTTTGATATTTTATTCATTTGATGGAACGAACAGGCTCTCTTGAAGGTGGAAAGTGGCAGGCAGTAATATTGAAGTATATACAATGTAATCTATAATAAATGGGCTCAAACAGTGGTTCTCAAATGGTGTGTTGTGACCTAAAAGAGGGTTGTAGGGACCCTTTTAGTGGGTCGCTTATTTTTGTGTGGTCGAAAAAAAAGTTTTCGGGAAAAAGTTAATCGCTTAGCATGCTGTGCTTTTATTTTGAAGCACATACGCTTTCCCATGAGGCAGGGCACACGCAGTAACCTTTTGTAGCCCTTGCTGGCATAACGGCAGTGTATCGGCAGTAAGTGCTAAGGCCAGCACTTTGAATCGAATAGAAAATACTGCAGCGACTACATTAAAATCGAGTGGTTCAAAAATTTGGATTGCAACTTAATGACTCAGGAAAATCGTGGGTCCTGAGGCTCAACTAATTGAGAACCTCTGGACCAAAATATGCACCATGATATCGTCTTTTAGTGCATTTCTTTTTAAAACAGTAACCTGTGGTTATTAATCTCACAAAAAAACAAGTATCTATAAAGTATATCATTAAATGTTATGACGAATAATTGTTTTATTTTGGTCTTGAAAATGTTTCCTGTGTTGCCACTATCACACTGCTGGAAAACGGTGTCAGAAAACAGCGACGTTACCACCATGCAAATAAGAAATGTAGTTAATACTGCACCCTGTCGTGAGTCTGCTGCCCAACACTGACTATATCTCACTGTGGACTCATAAGGTCACAGCCACCGTCCTATAGACGATGAGGGATTCCATTTTATGATTAGCTGCTAATGGCTGACAAGCTGCTCATTACCTTTTTGTCACCAGGTCAAAGCCAAAGTGAAGCCGAGTTCCGCTAATGAAAGCAGTTCGATCATTAAATCCAGTCAGGCACAACCTACAAGTCAAGGCACGGACATACAGATAATTAAACTGGTTCCTATTCACTCGCTAATTAAAGGAATTGATTCACATGCGGCTGGGTACAGTAACACTGAGTGCAGGTTTTTATTGTTTTCCTCCTTTGCTCATATTATTGACAACAGTAAAGCATTCGATGCAGTTGGAAAGATTTCACTGTGGCATAAACTGTTGAAAGAAGTTGCAAAAAGAAAAATATGGGAGGCAAAAATGAGTCTGTACAAAAATATCCAAACATTTTTATTAATGTACTAAATCCAAGTTGAAGTTTTATCACCCCTGTTGCAGATATTTGACCTACCTATAATGGAGAGGGCGATAAAACATCTTTGATCTGTGATTAGAAGCAAGTACTCATTTCTCGTCCGTCTGCCTGTTTTTCCTGTCAGCATTACATCCTACCAGACCTTACCAAGGAACATGCCCAGCCACCGTGCTCAACTCGTGCCCCGCTACCCAGAGGGCTACCGCACACTGCCCAGGAACAGCATGATGAGGCCCGAAAGCATATGCAGCATGGCGGGTTCTGTGTACGACCGCGCACTCCGTCCCGCTTCTACCACCAGTGTCACCACAGCAGAGAAGAGGAGGTCTATGAGGGATGACACTATGTGGCAGCTGTATGAGTGGCAGCAGAGACAGGCTTTCTCCAGGCAAAGTCTTGCTCAGCCAACAGGTACACAAACAAAACTATTTGTTTTTATTTCTATTTTCGTTCATGTTTGCCAATTAGCTTTTATTATTTTTTCACCAACAATCTGAGACTGGGTCAGAGCTGGCATCTCAGAGGACCCTGAACACTGGATGTGTGAGTCAGTTTTGATGCAAATTGGTCCCAGTGGCCAACTCTGCTATAAGAATAAAAAATAAAACCCATTGGCCTGACAAGCTTTGCCCCTCTTGACCATTTGTGTTGTGGATTTTTAAACCATGCAAGTAATCCTAGGTGCAGTTGCTTTTGGGTCAGGGGTACATGGTGTATCTTGTTCATGCACTACACGCTGTGGAATGGATCTCCCTCATCTGATCCCAGTCAGTGGCATTACAGTTACATGGTTCTGTTTGTAAATGAAGTATTTACATCCCTGTAGCGGCGACTCAAATCAATGTTTTCAATAACCAAGTGAAATGGAGATACCACAGAAGGTCCTTGTATCAATGGCTGTAAAAAATATCATCACCAACACCAACCCACTTGGTACTAATTGTGCAGGAATTTTTATCAGAGTTGTGACTCCAGTTTCATCACCATAACATAATATATCATATGCATTTGACTTTGTGATTTTCTCCTCCTGTTCTTGTGATTGCAGCCGTGGGTCATTATGGAACCCTGCCCAGCACAAAGACTATGGGCAACATCTCTGAACATGCTGTGGCGCAGTCGATCCCCAGCTCACCATCTCATGGCTCCTTGGCTCTCTACAGCACCTTCTCTGCTCCTCATCAGCAGGTTGCTCACAACCCCAGCAACTCCTTCTCTGAGGTGACCTCACCCGTGATCAGAGGGGATGGGACACTGGACCGCCGGCAGAGGACACATCTCGCCAAGGTAGAGGACATGTCCCTGGAATCACATGATGATGATGATAAATTTGTTTAGTGCATCAAACAGAAATAGTTTAGATGTGGAATGCGTAGAATAACTTTTATATATTTTTTAACTATTCTTAACCTTTCATCTAATCAGCTTTGCACATGGCATGTGTATTCTTTATGGCTCAGAGAACTGCAGTGGAAATGTCATTATTTTTATTTGACCATACTGGACTCAGACACTTAGCACTGACAATAGCTGAGAGAAAAGTTAAACAGTGTTGTGAATGGCTTGTTGGGAATTTGAACCTCAGACTGCTCACACCTGAAGTGAGAATCATACACCTAGACCAGCGAGGCAGTCTCTCAAAACAGCCATCTCTGTAAACATTGTTGGTGATTGTTCAGGTAAGAGTATGGGCTGTCATCCCTTCACATTGATGAAAGTACCTAAGTAGTTTTTCTCCTGCTTCCAATTTCTATGCTGTCCTTGAATTGTAGAGTTTAGTTGAGCCACCGCTCAATTCACTAGAACTTTGACCCACAAGGACATCATATTATTGTAGAGAAAAGCTAATTACCGCACGTTGAAGGGCTCGTCCGGGATTTGAACCCGGGACCTCTCGCACCCTAAGCGAGAATCATACTCCTAGACCAACGAGCCATAAAAAGCCCATTCTCTCAAAGCAGCCATGCCGGTAAACAGTTTTGGTGATTGTAGTTTATCTCCTGCCTCTAATCTCTATGCCACCTTGACACCCACAAGGACAGTGCATGATCTGAGAAAAAGACTGAAGCTTGTGTGACATTGACAGAAGAGGCCACGTAGTCTTTCTCCTGCTTGCAATCTCTATGCTATCCTTGAATTATAGAGTTTTGTTGAGACAATCTCAATTCACTAGAACCAAGTGTGATACCCACAAGGACATTGTATTATTATCGAGAAAGGCTCAATAGCACATGTTGAAGGGCTCGTCCAGGATTTGAATCTGGGGCCTCTTGCACCTTAATTGAGAATTATACTCCTAGACCAACAAGCTAGAAATTTCAACTTCTCTCAAAGCAACCACCTCCGTACACAGTGTTGGTGATTGTTCAGGTAAGAATCAGACAGCATGGCCTGTCATTCCTTCACATTGACTCATGACATAGACTCTAGAGATAATTGGCACCACACCTTTGTGCACCCCCACCTCAGGATATAATGTAATTCAAACCTTCCCCCCCAATAATCCCTATTACTTTGGTGATAATAAAGTCACAGTTTATATTGTGCTTTAATGGTGAGTATTGCCAAGTTTTCAATGAATAAATCCACAAAATAATCTATCTTTCTGGGGTACCTTTGCAGTTAGATGAATACATCAATAAACTGCATACATAATTAAACAATTAAAATAGATATTTATTTTACTTTTAGTACAACAATGATCTGCTTCAAAGTTTTCTTTTTTAGTCCACTGTAGGCGCTGAATTTAATTACACAGAAATTAGGGAAATTAGTGTTTTGTGTTTGCTCACAAAGACAACAATAACTGGATGAAACTATGGCTAAATGTTTCCCATTGTTAGATTCTCATTTTTAATATTCATTCTCTTTTGATTGAATGAATGAATTTAGTTAAATGTCAATACAATGCATCTGCTGCGTTCGCTAAGCACAAACCATGTGCTTTACATTATTGCCAGTCATTCTCTACCCTTGCATGTCATTCATTTGTAGGTTGTTTTGCCCTCTCTAATGTAGACTGGTGTTTTAGGATTCAATTCAATTCATTTCATTTTTATTTGTATGGCGCCAAATCATAATATACATCATCTCAAGGCACTTTACATAGAAGATCAAGATCTTAAAATCATATTGATATAGAGAAACCCAACAGTTCCCACAATGAGCGGCTCTTTGGAGACTGTGGAGTGAAAAAATCTCTCATTAAAGAAAGCAAAGAAAAAGGGGAGGAGAGGAGAGATGGGTGGAAAAGAGGGGAGAGAAGAGCGAGAGATAGTGGGGAGGAGGGGAGAGGGAGAGGCGAGAGAGACCGGGAACACTTGAGTTGGAGTTTGACTCATATAAAGTGTATCAGGCTCATTCACATAAACTTCACATTGATTATTTTGGCAGATACTTTGGTGGCGTACTAATGAGCTTTAATGTGGAGGGCTGGCTGAGGTGTTTGGAAATATTAAAGATTATCCCCAGATTATTTGCCAGGGATGTAATAGTGTGCGTGCATGTGTGTGAGATGGGACTCAAATGCAGAGAATTCACATCTTTACTCCCACTCCAAGAAGTCGTAGACCAAGATTCAGTCCAGTGAAGACAAGGAGCAGGCAACGATACAAAAGCCAGGGTAACAAGCAAAAGTCATACACAGGGAGGCAACAATACAAAGAACAAGAGAGAGCGTGTACATGGGGAGTAACAATGGCCTCAATAGACTGATCACACGGTATAAAGGGTTTACTGGCAACACAGGGGCAGTAAATGGGCATTTATCAGGTGAAAATTGGGAATGATTCAGGAAGTGGTGTCATAATGGTATCACAATAAACAGGATATATAAGAACAGAAGAAAAAAGAAACTGTAAACAGCTCAAATCATTTAGACTTTAGTTAGCTAAAAGAAAATAGTGAAAGATCCAGGCAAAAGTGATGGAAAGACATTCTACTGCCAAGATTTCCAAGTATGCAAACTTAACCAAACCAATGTTTAACCTATATCAATAATAGTTGAATAATACCCTGTATATCATCAATTTAAATGAGCATGTTTTTCCATATAACACTTATGGGCGTTCATCGTGAGCTGTGAGGAATCGCTGAAATTCACCTTCAGTCCAATTCATTGCATTCTCCTCCCTCTCCCACAGTGCGGGTACCCAGCTGACCGGCGATCGATTGCAGCCGGCGTCCCTCCTCAGACCATCACCCCACAGTCGCTGCAAGGCAAGACGGTGAGTCTCCTCCCACGCACTCCACTGACGTCACCTACTGATCCCCTGCTTACAGTGAACGCTGACAAAGAGGGAATACAATTTTGAGAACATTACCCCGATCAAAAAACAACCTCTGATGTCCATCACTCACAAACCTATTTTCAACATGGAATTTTGCAGTTCACTGCTTGCCACAGTGTCTGCATTCTGTTTTTTCACTCTGTTCCAAGCAATGACACACTGTGTGTGTGCTTGAGTGTGTGCGTGTAGATGACATATTATGGCCACTGTCATTTTTTATTAAATGTATGGAGGTGGGTCAATATGCAAAATCAAAAATATCAAATAAGTTTATAGTCACAAATGTATGAAGTCCTGCGAATCAGAAACTACAACACAACAGACAGATGCAAGGATGTCTTTGTTTACTCCAGGAAATTTTAAATGGAATTTGTCATATTGTCTGAAGTAACTTTTATTCCCTTGAACTTTAGAATCACCTTTTTTATTTTTATTTTTATCAAAAATGTTTTAATTTTAATGTCCGGACGTCCATTTGCCCCATTGTACTGTGAACGCTACACTGCAAGATGAACAGCGGACACCCTCTAATGTGAGGCTGTTAACTGAAATGTCTTTTGTTGCTGTTCAAAATAAACCAGGTAGTCATCGGCATATAATGATAATCTGGATGGACATGTATTTAAGGATTTATAATTGTCTTTATTAAAAAGTCCTGGCAGATCCGTGTTCTGAAAAATGTTTCACGACAGTTAGTCAGGTCTCCTCTCTCCTCTATGTGTTGCCCTGTGCAGCCCGAGGAGTTAACACTACTGCTGATCAAGCTCCGCCGGCAGCAGGCGGAGCTCAACAGCCTGCGGGAGCACACAGTAACTCAGCTTATGGCCCTTGGTATGGAGGGGCCCAACGCCAAGGTCAGCACTGAGTGTCTACATACATGTGTGCATGTACGCTTTTGTGCTTTCCCAACCAAATATCCACTTTTTGTGTTGTGTGTCTGCAAAGGGAGGTTCCTTGTGTTAGACTGGCTATTTACTCCAAATCAAATTGAAATTGGTGTGTTTTGAAAGGTTCTGTGCAAAACAGAATAATTGGTATTACACAATAGGGCTGGGCAATGCACTTACCTGATGATCATACTATATGATATTATAATTATTGAGATTGTGTTCACATTTTTAACTCTAGACCATGAGGAAAAGTTCATTAAACACTTAATATAATACAAAGAGTCTATAAGTCATATTTCCCCCAAAAATATTACTATATGTCAATTTGTTTTTTAAATTTTATTTCCAAAAGCTTGATCTTAAATTCATACTACTATAAATCTGTCATAAGTGTTGACACTGACAGGTAAGTAGGTCACAGGCCAATATATAGGTATTCTAGCTGTTAGTTAAATTAAGTACTGTGACAAAATAACACTGGCTAAAGTAGCATTTGAGATATGAGAGATATGGCAGGAAGTATTTGTGTAGATGCTGTGAACGTAGCTCACACTGATGCTCACAGCCAGCATAATGTACTGCAGTACAAAAACCATAAATAACAAAGGAAGAAAAAAAGTACTATAGGAAATTACAATAGTATTACCATAAATTGTGGCATTCAACTAGAAAGAAATGTGCTGGTTAGGATAAAAAATATGAACTTCTTCCTAAATTCTCTTCAACAGTTTGACGGCAGTTTGCCCAATTATTCAATTAAGATGATATTTCAGAGAAGAAGCATAAAAACAAACAGTCTTATTAAAACAAAAAAACATGACGTCATGATTGGCAAATCCTAAATAACTACCTCAACAAACCTAAGCTCCAAAACCATGTGAACCTCATGTGAACACACCAAATTCAATTACATTTTGTAGTAGTGGTGGCACTAGTGTGTGTGCAGACTTGATGGGGGTGTCAGTTTCATGTTGGGGATTGGTGCCTTGATCCATGGACCCTCTTTGGTTCTTACATTTGCCCTTTTGCATGTTGGCTTGAGGTTTCTGTGCAGTTCCTATCCAGGACTTCATGGATGCATCAGAGCTGATGCATTAAACATTTGATGCTTTCCTTTCTTACCTTGATGTGCCACATAAGTTCTTGTTTGAACCCATTGAACCCAGTGTGCTGCCTTTTACTATGTTCTGTTATATGTTAACTTAATCAGTTTGACTGGAAGACTCTGGGTTATTTTATTATGCATGTACAGTAAGCATGCTTGAAGCTTTATAAATGTCATAATTCAAATTGCGGAATAGTTATGCTAACTGGCAGCAGCTTGTCTGTATGCATGTCTTAAGAGCTGGGCAGATACAGTATTGGTTTAGATTTTGGATATGATAATGTTGTTTTTCCTGGTCAGTAAGGTTTCATCAGTTGATTATTTTATCTTTATTTCTTTTATGTTCCCTAATTCTTACACTGTTTCAGTGAGGTAAAATGATCAATGATGCTTTATAACAACTTTTAAATCATAACGGCTTAACTACTGGGCGATTCTTGACCGTACAAATATGAATGTATCACCCAACCCTACGTGTACAGCACATATCACAAACACAACACATCAGTAGGAGCACAAGGTGGGTTTTTATCCAATTTGTGAAATTCTGCAAAATAACAAATAGTAGATGATGCATGTTACCATGATGCATATATTGGGGATTGGTTAGTCAAGATGAACAAAGGGGTGGGAATCCACATGCAGAAGAAGAGGGTGCAGCAAACATTTAAAAGAGCAATCAAACCTCAAATGATGAAACACAAAGTAGAAAGCAGATTTCTGTTTGTTTCATGTGATTGAGGAACTTCTCAGTCTCATTGCACACAGATCTGATGTTTTGGTCCGCTGGACACTTGTTTGGTTCACATGCGTCTAACTCGGTCTGTTTCCATTTTGCATCTTGCTTTTCTTGATTCCACAACTTTTCCACCTCAGCCCTGTGTAACAAACGTTTTTTTTTTTTGCAATATTTCTGCTGTTATCTTTATAAATGTCAGTTAAGGTTAATGAGACAACTTAGTTCAACCTTATAACTACACAGGCTGATTATGCCAAAACCCATCTTATGCTCCAGGACTTTTTATTGACCGTTTAGTGGCAGCTATTATTACTCTTTATAGACTGTCTACAATATCATCATGGCAGCTATGGTACGATTATGGATAGGGAAAGGCTTTCGTTATGACAAATTAACTATGATTCAGGCAACTAAATCACTTTCCTCAAGTTGTCAGAAAAGATTAAATATTAAATATGCAGCTCTGCATCTCAATTAATCTCCTATCACATCCTCCTCTTCCTCTTTTTCATGATGTGCCTTTGACCCCCCCTCATTTTCCTTCCCTCTCTCTGTCATCTCCCTCCCTCTCTCGGCTGCTTCTGTCCACATCTACCAAACAACATGGCCTCACTTTTCCTGCTTCCTCTCCTCCTTGCTCGGCTGCTACTGCAGACTGATGTTCTTTCTCATCACCTCCAGAGGAACCTTATTTACCTGGACAGCCAGGTGAGAACGTCTCAGCCCAAAACATGGATTCATGTCCGTCTCTGGCTACTTCTCTTCCTGTCTTTATTTCATTTTACTTATCTTTGCCCTTTCACCACCTCACATATCTTTAGGTTACCACAAGTAAGACATGCGGAGTGTAATTAGCTTGTTAAAGCATGCCGTAGATAATTCCCAGTTAAGGTGCACAGACATATTAACTAATGAACCCAAGTGCTGTCTGGATGCTATAAATACACACAGCTTGAAGCTTTATTTGTATGCCCCCAAGAGCAACAGCACTTAACCTTTCTGATCACTTGCCTTGCACACTCTAGACCAGAACAGCTTCAACAGCAAACTTAGCGAAGTGCATGGAGGTAAATGGGAAGTTTTAGTTTCCATGGAGCCTTTATATGGAGTTAAGATAAAAGAAAATAAGAGCAGGAATCTAATTTGCAATGTGTTAAATGTGCCTGTGGTTTATTTGCCTCACCTGTTTCTGTCATTAATGTAAGAAATAATATGGATGTTCCCGCTGCGATCTCATTAAGACTGTCTTGCAGAATGCTCAGCGTTCCAGGCTAATTGGAAGGAAAACGTGAGCAGTTGACAGTTCACAGAGGCATCGCCCGATCATGGCATGCATTTAAATGTGCTGTTTATTTTTGGCCTGTAGGTTGGATTTTTTTTTTTGCCTTCCCACAGTTCTTGCATTATTGAATATGACTGCTTGGCTCTGAAAAGGTCATGTGCTCTGGGGAGAGAACGGCCTTGGACAGGATATGTAGGAGTGAGAAACTCCTCTGTCATTTATGTTGTTTCCTGTAAATTTAACCTAACATAGCAATATATACGTAAATGTATGTTAAACCTTTTTGTGATAGGAGTTGTTTCTCCCTCAGTAGACATTGGTCAGTACGTCTTTCACTTAATTCACTTAAACTTTCACGTAATCACTTACCTTGCAGGGATTTAATTATTATTACTGGTCTAATTTTTGTAGCTCTGGCCGTCGGTTCACTCTGTTCTAATAACAGTATAGACACTAACAGATTGATTATCTCTCTGTACAAATAAAGAAGGTACAGTAGGTCAAGGTTGAACCAGAAGCAGATCTCTACACTCTAAACAGTTTGGATAGGTTCACTCTCATTGACTTACTAATCTGTTTACGTGTATGTATGATTTTGTATGATAAGAGATGAGTGTCTTGACCTTTTTTTTTATTTATGCTTCGCTGAATTACTTCAGTGTATACGTGTCATTACAGATGGTGCCAAAATATAACTCGAGTAACAATAATTAACTATATTTCCCCTAGACTGGATTGATACTCGCTAATGATCAGTGAACATCTCTTATAATTTTGTAAAACACTGCCTAGTAATGCAGTTAAAGGTGGTGTTTTATTTGAAATGCGAACATTCACATCCATTCTATTGAAAAGTTACTTTAAAATAACAAAGTTAGACTTTTAATAACAAGTCTCAGATGTTCAGACTCTGTGGACTAATTCAATCCAATGGACATTTGGAAAAGTAGGGACCTGAGGGAGCTGAGGACAGTTCTGAGGCAAAAAAAAAAGCAGTACCCTACTGGACACATTCAGACCAAAGATAATTGTGTTTTGCTCATTCATCATGTACAATTTAAACCAATGTCAAATCTCTGAAATCTTCAACACTGAAGGTATTTGTGAGAGGTTGATCTTATTCGAGACAGCAGAACACAGACGTGTTATTACACCACTGTATGTCCTGTTTCTCCATGGTGCTCCACTAGACGAAGGAGAATGAGCCTCTAATCTTCATGATTCATACTATGATCGAGAACTCGGCACCGAGGCCACAACTCTACCAGCAAGTAAGGTGATCGGCCGGCTCTGGCTTGAGACAGTTTCAACAGTCCACTTGTGTTTGGACAAATCGTATTTTATCCTGTTGTTGGGTCGAAAGCTCAATGCAATCATGCAGTTTTTACATTAATCATTTTTTTTGGGCTAATCCACAAAAACAATTCAGTGGACTTTGATTGAAGAGGTCATTATAATGTACATTATGTAAACTTACATCACAGCTATCGTTAAACTCGATGTTGTTGGGATTTGATTTCCCAAAAATTGAAATTTCTGTTAATACCAAACCACTATTTAATTTTAAGTTGACTGTTTGAAACTGACTCAAGCCAGACCTTTGCCCTTGTGGTCCAGTGGTTGTGTATCCACGTCCCCCCTTCACCATCAACCTCTTGTTTTACCACTTTGGATGCAGTCAGTCCCTCCATCAGCCAGTCGTTTCTCAGTGAGCCTTCCCAGAAGTCATTACACCATATATATATATAAAGTGTATATAAAGTTGTGTTTAGTTCTAGCACATCTCATTTCATTACTTTCTGTTTGATGCTGTTACAACAGACCTGAAGCGAGCATGGCTTATGTAATTCTACATAGTTATGGAATTCTCCTCTCTCCATCTGTCTTCATTGTTGGGTAACACTTTGGAAATACTTACACCTCGTAGATGTGTTTGTCTTCAAGTGCATTTTTCCACATATTTGTATTTTATGTGGCTCTGCATAAAATAATGCTCTGTTTTTGTAGTACATGAGTTGTTATTAAAGGGATAGTTCTATGTTTCACTTTCGTTTTGAGAGCGGGACAAGCAGATTGATATATAGAATGCAGATGGATCAGGATGTGGTTAACCTAGATTTATGGAAAACATTTGAAGCAGGGGGAGCTATCCAAAGTTTAAAATGATGCCTGCTAAAACATCTGGGGCTCACTAATTTGCATGTTGTATCGAATTTGTTTCATTTGTACCTAAATAGATACGGAAAAACAATCGCTTGTGTGTTGGAGTGAGTTACACTTTGGAACTATTCATAAATCTATTTTCTAACACTCACCCGGAGTTGACAGCAGGGTGTTCCAGACGTCCCTCTCCCCAGCAATGTTTTCCAACTCCTCCTGCGGGACCCGAAGGCGTTCTCAGGCCAGATGGGATATCTAATCCCACCAGCGAGGTCTGCGTCTACCTTGAGGTTTTTCTACCAGATGGATGAGCCCTGGGAAACCTCCAAAGGAAGGCACCCAAGAGGATCCTAATCAGATGCCCAAACCCCCTCAAGTCCTTTTAACGCAAAGCAGCAGCCGCTCTTCTCCAAGTTAATTTTGGCTACTTATATCCGTCATGTCATTCTTTCTCTCACAACCTAAAGTCGATGACCATAGATGGTTGTTTGAAGATTTATTGACTGGTAAATCAAATGCTTTGCCTTCTGGCTCTACTCCGTCCTCACTTCAAGGTTCTGGTACGACATCTGTGTTACTGCTGACGCTGCACAAATCCGCCTGTCCTTTTCATACTCCACTTTCCGGTCAAGGCCCAAAGAAACTTCCTCACTCTGGGCAGCACATCACTGCCAGTCCAGGAAGAGAAATCTAGCATTTTCCGACCGGGAGAACCATCTCATCGGGGCCACTTCGTACTCGGTGTACAGATTAAACAAACGATACAACATGTTAAAGGTCAAGTCTGTGGGAGACAAACAGAGCTGACGAACTGGGACTGGGAGCACAGAGACTAAATACACAAGAGGGGACAGTTGGACACAGGTGAAAGAAAGGTGGGCGGGGCAGGAAGTAGAACATTCAACAGACACACAAGGTCTGATAAATCAAAATAAAGCTGGGAATTATGAAAGCACTCCATAAAGGTGACAGTAAATTCTTTCTGGGTCTCCAGGGAGCCATTCTAATGAAACCTTGCAGGACTCTGGTTGGATGTATCTCTTGGTTTGAAAACCAAAGGTTGTTATTGTCTCATAAATGGACACATTTACACACAGATGGACCAGGTTTGGTTGTGATATCACAATTCCAGCTTGCAAGTAACTCACTGAACTTAACTTTCAGCAAGCACTGAAAATGACTCCCCCCTCTAATCGCTGTCAAATTCTGAAGATAATGTTGATGAAGGTACCCCACGTCACAGGGAGATTTTGATTCATATACAGAGAATGGTTGTGTTGGGCTTAGTTTCACTTGTATTAGTGTTCATCTGTGCTCGCTGGCTCCATCCCTCTCTGACTTTATCTTCATTAGGATATTCAGCTCCTGCGTCCCTGGTAACACCTGGGTAAACAGCTTCAAGGGAAATTAAACAGGATTAGTGAATATGCACAGAGCGCTCATCCCTTCATCCCCTCGCTCACCACCTCTGGAATGAGCAGCAGGAGGCAAATTATGAAGAGTTTCTTTACTCACTCTGCAGCATTTGTGGAAAAAATGACTTGTAATCCAACGAAGCTGTATTTATATCGCACATTTAATTGAATTCTTACACCTCCATAAAGAAAGCACATTAGTCATCCTATGGTTAACACAGAGACAACATTACGTTTCGGAAAAAAAAAAAGACGTCAGGTCATTCTTTTCCCCCGAATTGCATGAAACAGCATTCTGAGTAGAGAACTCTTCATGGCTGGGGCTCTCTGCTCTCCATCCTTACAGACGTGTTGTTGTCGCCCCCTGCTGCCTGTCTCTGACCCTGCTGCCTCGTTTCAGGTAAGCCCGGACGACTTTAAGGACAGCTCCTTCAGCCAGCGCACAGAGGAGGCTGACGTGGACGTAAGACAAGCACAGCCCCCAGTCATAAACTTTTAAACTTCACATACAGCTGAGTTCACGTGTTTGTGTTTGTGTGTGTGCGTTAGACCAAGCTGAGCAGACTGTGCGAGCAGGACAAGGCGGTGAGGATGCAGGAGGAGAAAATGCAGCAGTTGCACAGAGAGAAGGTACAGCCGTCTGCATGTGTGTATCAGTGCTTTTGTCCTGAGCAGCTTCATATTTGCAATAAGTACCCATAAAAGAAATGATTACATATTAATGTGAATATGTGTCAGGTATTGGTTAGTCTTCAGCAAAGGAAGAAATTGTCATCTGAAGTCATGGATATTATGTGTGTGTGTGTGTGTGTGTGCATGTGCAGCACACTCTGGAGACGGCCCTGCTGTCAGCCAGTCAGGAGCTGAGTGAACAGAGCGGCTCCAGTGCTGCAGCCACACAGAGCCTGGTCCAGCAGAGAGACGTGCTGCAGGGCGGCCTCCTGAGCACCTGCAGAGAGCTGTCCAGAGTCAGCACTGTGAGCACAACTCAATACACACTCACACACACATGCACTAGACAAGAGGAACAGGTCCTGTAATTAGGTTGAACTAACAAACAATGCTTCTCAGAGGGGTGCTTCGAGTAAAGACATATATATTTGGGATCTATAAAAATGTGACGTGTTTAGGGGACTGATATTTATGAATGTGTGTTGTTTTGTTGGGGTTCCAAATAAAATCTGGAGCCGCTGAATTTAAATGTGGTTTCATAAGGGGATACTTGGGTCTTGGCAGAGTTACACACTCTAGTGAGTGACACTCTAGTTTAGTTTTCTCTGGTTTTCATAGAGCTTCACACACTTTCTTTTCTCCGCAAGGTCTTTTAAAAGGCCACTTCACCCAAATGATTTAAATAAATTGAATAAAATCTAAATTAAATCTAGTTGTATCTGTAATGTAAGAAGTTTGATTCAATTTGAGATACCAGCCTCTTTCACCAATTCAATGGAGGTGAATGTAATTAGGTTTGTTGTACAAGATTTTTTTAAAAAGACTGTTAGTAAGATGTTAAAGGTCAGAATCAAGGAGGACCCTCTGATCTGTGTTGGGAGGGAAAGAGGCTGAAATGTTCTGCTCCAAGGAAAAACGATCTTTGGTTTGATGAGCTTCAGGAAAACATTTCTCTTTGACATATTTAACTAGTGATTTAATCTATTTTTCCAAAGTAGGCTTGTGACAGAAATAATGCTGAGTGTCTCACTCCATGCACTCTATAGAACAATGTGTTAAAAACTTCTAGATATACACACAATACATCCAAATTGTTAGAAATAGTGTAATACTCTTCTTTGAGAAGTAGAAATTTAGGCATATACACACATACATCTACACGCATACACACTCTTGTGACCCTGTTATTGGCTGGTGTGCTGGTTTCAGGAGTTGGAACGCTCCTGGAGGGATTATGACAGGCTGGAGGCAGACGTCACTCAGGCTAAGTCCAACCTGCTCGAGCAGCTGGAAGCCCTGGGCAGCCCACAGGTAATAGACAAACACGCCCACACACACACACACTTTCTAGAGCGAAGAAGATTTTAACAGTGTGTGTGTGTGTGTGTGTGTGTGTCCTCAGACAGAGCCTCCAAGCCAGCGGCACATCCAGATTCAGAAGGAGCTGTGGAGGATCCAGGACGTAATGGAGGCTCTGGCCAAAAACAAACCACAGCGGTGCACAGACAACAGTGAGTCTGGAATTACACGTAAATAAGTTCATTTCTGATGTTCGGGTCCAGGGGTGGACAAAATGGCTGTGGCAGGAGTCACTGGTGTGACTGCGATGTCGTCTCTCTACCCTTAAAGGTTCAGTGTGTAGAATTTAGTGACATCTAGTGGTGAAGTTGCATGTGCAGTTGTCATAAACACTCAAAGTGTTTAGTTAGTTGAGTCTGGACTACTGTAAAAAAAATGGCGGCCTCCATAGAGAGGACCTGCACCAGATGTAAATATAAAGTATTTAAATATAAAGCGCCCATTTTAGGGTAAAGACAATAACAATTGATATAATTTAGATGAAACACACTTGTGTAAACATCACTAGATTTATTTTATATTAAATTCACCTTTGTCTCACTTTAATTTGGATTTCAAATTCTATTCATTAATTCTGTTCTATTTAAGGAAACATGTGACTACAAATGCTGTTTCAGGTGTCTTAAAAATGTACAATGCTTAAGTTCCTTTTCCTCTTTTCTCCATTCGCCTCGTGTTCAGCAGATTTTCCTGGCTCTAAACCTCTCTCCAGTGTCCAGAAGAATGAAGTAAGGCACCGTCCCAGCCCACACAGCACAGTCTACCGTCCACATTAGGCCACACTCACTTTCAGCCGATTCACATTTGGTTTAGCGCCTGGCTCTAATAATATGCATCTTAAAACTCATTTTTGAAGGAAGAGTAATTTTGTGCTTTTGATTTGATGGGATTATCATGAAGCTCGTGACCACAGGATTCACCAGGAACACATGTTCTCAGCACTGAACTGTAGTTCTTACCAAATAACTTTCAAGTGTTTCAATTGATTTCCTTCATACTGGTTTCATTTAAATTCAGTGTACTATAAAAATCCACTTGCTGACTCTTGAACCTTGCTTGAGGGAGCTAATTCATTACAATTACCCTTTTCAGTCATGCAGTTGTGAGCCAGCAATGATTCGAATAACCACTGTTGTTGCGTTCATCATTTCTCCATCATTCAATCTGTCTAGGGTGACCAGTTTTTCAAGAAAAAACTTTTGTCTTGGGTTTGATTATTAAAAAATGTATGTCCTTGCTGTGTTCTATGGAAGCCAACGCTCAGGCCCTGTAAAGGTTGAACCCAAATTGAGTTTTTGCATTTCATTATTCACATATATTTGACTTGATTCTGGCTGATCTGTTTTTAGGGGTCCATGGAACTGCTGGAGCACTATTTTTTTTGTTCTTGTTATTCTGGCTTATCGGCTGCTCTGAACTACTACTGGTGTTGAAACAAGCAATTTTGAAACTTTAAGACATCTTCGCCCCGAGTCCAAATTCTTTCATAATTGTATTCTTTCAATCTCTCTCTGTATCTCTGCTCCAGTGGCTCTAAAAATATATCTGCCATTTACAAAAAATAAATTAGGTTGAGCAACACTAACCGTCATCCAATTCTCATAAAATGTTGGATACGTCATCTACAGATAATGTTGACACAAAGTTTTGAAGGGAATTTAGATATGTCAGTTTGATTTTAAATGATACGTTACAGCTGTCCACGCACAAAAATAAGAAATAAGTTCGCCTCAACTATACAGGACGCTTTAGCATCCCTTAGCTCATTGTTTTGGTTTTATGGCTCTCACCACTTGTCACAGAAGATGTCTCCAGCAGGCTAGGGATGTGGTTTCAGTATAAGATACCTGCTCAGCACCATCTAACAGACAGAGACATTGTATTTCTCAGGAGTTGGTGCAGACCAAAACACCCACGTGTTCTTGAATTCCCTGGAGTGAGATTGTTAAAAGTAGATCCTGCTTGCTGGTAAAATCCTCTACTCCCATACCTTGGAATGAGACCTGTTATGTTGACTGTCAACAGACAGTGATGTTGCTGCCACTCAATCCTCCCAAGGAGGGCAACAGTGTGCCCCCCCGCCCGCCCCTTCCCCAGTACTACGACTCATCAGAGCGCCCCCCTAACGTGCCCCCCCACCACGTGCACCCCAGCGGCCGCCTGTCCAACCACACGGCCCGGCCCGAGGACCGTAAGGCCGGCTCTAGGAACGGAGCGCACAGCGTAAGCACCGTTCATGCCCTCCCATGCCCCCACTCCCCCCCCCATGTGTGCTCCCCCTCCGTCACATCTGTGGTTCGCTGTCACCGCCATCCAGCACTCTGCCTCTGGACTTTGTTTCAGAAGGTCCTCTGTGCTTACAACCATTTTTATATGAGTTGTCATCATTCTCATACCCGAGCTCCATCCTAAAGACTGAATGAACAGTGACTCACTTAATATAACTAATCTCCCTCCTTTTTTTTTACCCCTGCAATCCATGCTCCATCCAGCCTCCACTGTCCCTCACCCACAGTCACATTCAGCCCTGCTCTACTCCATGGATTCATTAATTGAATTTCACCTTTGTGAAGGGGATGTTTTATTGAGTGGGTTTTTTTGTTTTGAGTGTCACTTGTATCTACACACAAAGCTTCAGTACTTCACGGTACCTGAAAACTCTGCCATCAATGATTCTATGCGATTTTGTTTGGTGCCATGAGACATTTACTAGAAGATCACCGTGATTATCATGCTCTTTAAAAAGACAAGGTCACATCTCCTCTTGTCTGTGTAACTTTTTCTCTCTTCAAGTCTTGGACAGTTGAGAACTGTAGCACAAGTTAGAACAAGGGCCTGAAAAAAGATTTTTGAGGGCGGAAATTCATAAAATTTATATTTAACTGATATTTATTTTTTTATTTTATTATAACTTTTACTGTGAAAGTTTTTGCTTCATTCTTGATCATTAAATTAGAAATGTTACTTTGTTCTTCAAACAATACAACTTATATCATATAATATATAATCATTCTAAGTTAATCAAAATATGATAAATCCAAATGTCACAGTGATCTGTGGTCCAAATAAATAAGCCAAACAAGTTTCTTGTGAGGATCTAGAATTGAAATATATTATAATATATATAATATGAAACTTCCAACCTCTAAAGCTCATTAAGCACTTTCTCAGTTGACATTTAGGAGATATATAAATTTAACCCAACAACCGCAATAAGTAATCCAATTTAACAAAGTTGAGCATCACTCTTTCATTTGTTGTTGATGTTACATTTTTAGCAAAGAATCATTGAAAACCCTGTGTTTTGTGTTTGCTGTGTATTCTCTACATGTGTGAGTCTGTGGCTGACGGCTGCCGGGGAAACTCTGACCCCAATCAATCTGTCCCCCCTCCACAGCAAGCTCCAGACTATCGTCTGTATAAGAGTGAACCTGAGCTGACAACCGTCAAAGAGGAAGTGGATGAGGCCAACGGTGAGGACAAGGACAAGACAGAGACCTCTGCAGAGAGTAAAGACACTGCATCCTCAAAAGGTTTTTTTTTAAACTACAACTTATTTAAAACAGTTGTGATGTCCGTAACCGTCTCCTGTTTTTGTCAAACCGTTATTTTGACATGTGATTCATCTCTTGTGAAACGGAGCACAGCTAAATGTTCTGCCACAGCATGAGCAGTTAGCCTGACTGCAGTGTTTGTTTCTCTCCAACAGTGCCCCCCTACCCGGTGGGCATTGTCCCTCCCAGGACCAAATCTCCCATGAGCCCTCCTGAGTCGTCCACCATCGCCTCCTACGTCACCTTGAGGAAGACCAAGAAGCCAGAGTCCAGATCAGTAAGAGATGCACAAGCGATCGAATGACTCAGTTTTGATTTGCAGATGTGTCAGAAACCGCCCAGAGGATAGTTTTGTGTACTGCACTGCACTGCCTCACCTTACCTCACACATGCTGACTGTAAACATTCACCCAAAGGGTTAAAAACACGACTAGCAACTAAAGACCTGCTGCAGACAGCACCCTCACATTTTTGCCAAGTGAAGTTCAGGCAGCTGCAAAAATCATCCTCCTGTGTAGCGTGCATGTGTGCATTTAAATATCCGATAATTATTAATTGAGATGCAGTTGCTGTTACTTATGCTGGCAAATCAAAAAACATAAACCCACAGTTTGATGCAAGAAGATAATTATATTTTTATTTTTACAGCCTTAAATCATAATATATATTATCTCAAGGCCCTTTTACATCGTGAGGTTGAGACCGTACAATATTACAGTAAAACCAAGCACTCCCGACAATGAACAAGCAGAATGTAAGCGCGTGAGTGTGCTCCCGTGCAGGACCGTCCCAGAAGTGCAGCGGATCAGCCGGGCTACGGGGAGCGAGAGGTGGGCAGAACGAGGATGAGTGTGGAGGAACAGCTGGAGAGGATGAGGAGAAACCAGGAGGCCTCATCGCTCCGAGAGAAGAAGAGGGAAACCCCATCCCGCTCCCCCTCCTTCAGCAAAGACAACCCTTTTGTTATCCAGCAGGTACATGCACACACACTTAAACACATGCACACACACACTTCCACTGAGCACATGCATGTAAGCCATGAATACTTGTACCACAATCGTTTATTACACATGATGAGAAGCTGAATTAACTGTAGAATGTGTCTCTAATCTTATTGGCTGCAAAAGTGAATGAATTACTTTCCTATCATATGATTATCTATTATTTTATATCTGTATTAGCCTCAGGTCAGTCCTATTGGATTTAGAGATACCTGGCAAATTGCATTTTCAAACTTTTTTAACGATTGCCATCATTTCCTGACTTCATCGTGACTTCTTCATGATGTCACATATCATATGATAATCATGTGATGGAGAATAGTTTTCTGATCAATACAAGCTTTAGATTGTCTCGCTATTTTTTGCTGACATATTTTGGAAAAAAGAAATTTCATATCATACTTTTGGTTGACCTTGACATCAACCTTTGTCCAGCTCCAGAGGTTGATCCTGTGCAGATACTGTCACACACATACACAACCCACAGATGGGCTCAAATTCAATTCATCAGACAACTCATGCACAAATGTTTATTGCAGCAGCAGAACAGGTTTGTGTTTGGCGTCTAGACTCCGACTTAATCCCTCCCCCCAGATATGATTACACAGATGTGATGGGAGTGACGAGCAAATACTTATAACCCCCCAGTCGGAGCCTGCAGGTGGAGGCTGGGGTGGTGGAGGGGCTGAAGCAACTGGTAGTGATACTGCAGCAGCAGTGCGAAAGGGGCTGATGGGAAATGTCTGTGTATTATAGATGGTTGTGGAGAGTGAGGTATGCCACATGATTGGACACAGCTCGAGTTGGCTGCCTGAACTAGCTCGCAGGCGTTGCTCAAGTGTGTGTGTTTTTGTGTGCGTGCGTGTGTGTGTGTGTGTGTGTGTGCGCAGACCCGCGCCCAGGCAGAGGGTGCCTGTGCAGACCCTGTGGAACTGGAGGCAGCACTGCAGCAGCTGAAGGTGGCCGCTGAGGCTGCTGGGACTCACGCAGACAGAGCTCTGACGGCACCAGAGATTCACATGGTTTGTTCTCACATTATTTATATCATAACCACATTCAGTAAGCTGTTATCTTCAACATCTACTGGCAATCAACCGCAGCAACATCACATTGTAATTTCCAAATGAATGTCAAATTTCAAAAGCCTGTGTAGTTTTGATTGTCGTGCCAACTGCGGACCAATTCATGACAGGATTCTGTTTCCATATGCAGGAGGTGCAGAGAGAGGAGGAGGTGAAAAATGACAAATGTGAGGAGATACAGCAGAGCAGGACTGTGACCCTGCTCAGTGTGAAGGAGCAGCAGGCTGAGACCAACAGCATAGACAATGAGGTACTGTGGAGATGGACTGCACAGCCACACTGTGGACATCCTTCTTATGATTCATCAACAATTTAACTTTCCCTCATAATAAAAAATAAAATGACTCCACATGCCGTGAAAATATTAAACTGGATATGTTTTTCTCAATATGTTCCCTGACTTCAATACCCTGTCTATAGCTCTCAGCTCCACACCTACTGTTTCCTGCAGACTTAAATCTGTCACTTATACAAAGTTCACTTTTTGAAAAGCCCAATAAGTTGAGCTGCTCACAATCATTACTTACATATGAAGAAACGGTGCATTTGTTTGGAACTATTTCAGCTGCGGATGAATCCATATTTGGATGTTGGGGAGTATGTGTGCAGGACAGTGTGTGCAGGACGGACTGAAAAGAAACTACAATGTCTCATGGCAGTTAAGGAACATTGCCCCTGGTCCATAATTAGTATGAACAAGCTAATGAACACGGCCTAAATGGCGTTATAGTAATTTGAAATAAAATATGGTAACTGCCAGTGTGGAAGTCAGCAACAGTAGCAATTAGTGAAGTGGTAAAGTTTGTGCCGTCAGCAGCAGGCTACAGACGGAGGAGATCCAATTAGCCGTTCACAGCTTTCACTGTTAAATTCACCGTCTGTAATCCCAAATCTTTGTGTCATACCACAGCTAAATCAGCCACAGTGGCTGGAACATCTCTGAGTGTAATGTGGGGCAATAACAACGGATTTGTAGGAAACCAGAGGGAGACAGGTTGGCTTTAAGGGGTTTATCTCCTGGATTTAGCCAGGATTGGTAGCTGCTCTCCTGTGTGAAGCTACCCTGGAGCGTCATTTCTTCATTCTAACATGAGTTGTAATTTTCTTCAGTTTATCTCCTGTCTGCTAATTTATTTCTTAAACTGCTGGTTCAATTATTTACTAGTCTGTCCCTTAGTTATCAAATAAATGGTAAATGGTCTGTATCTATAATGCACTTTTCTAGTCCTGATGACCACTCAACAGTTTTGCCCTTCACACATTGTCCTACATTACAACTACGGGCAGCCTTTTTTCTGTGAGGGGCAATTTGGGGTTCAGTATCTCGGCATGAGTAATGGGGAAGATTTAGATCGAACCACCAACTTTCTGGTCAGAGGGCGACCCGCTGTCACCGCCCGTAAACATGTTTGTATACTGTATTTGATCTTTTTCAAATATCCATATGTATTTCTCTGTAGTGATCAGTATTTCTTTCTTTATTTCATATCATAACAGCACAAAATCAAAAACAAATAGATACAAATCACTGCATGTAACAACACTTTGAGTTTCAATGTGAAGGATTTAGTGATTCCTTCACCCAACCTCTATTTCCAAGGGTGCATTACCTACGGTGGCCTTCAGGTGATAAAAATGTCTACTGTAGAAACATGGTGGTGTGTATAGGGTTTCGGTTTAAGGCTAGGCTGGTCATAATCAATGGACGTCAATGCTATGTCATAAAACAGGGTGCGTGTGTGTGTGTTTCAGATGTGTGAAAGTCAGAGGGTGGTGATTCTGGACCTGGGCACTGAACCTCAGCATGTGGAGATAGTAAATCTCGAGCCCTTTGAGGATGACGAAAGCAGGAAGCAAGATCTGACGAGCTCACCTACAAACACCACCACGGAAAACAGGTGGGTGTGTGTGTGTGCGTGTGTGTGTGTGTGTTTGTTTTCCACCAAGAAAAGCCTTCAGTGCCGTCATTTGCTCGTCTTTCAATGAGCAAACCCTCTCCAGTTGAAATAACTATCGACATCATTGATTGACTTAATTATAACTGATATAATTCTGATGTAGTATTTCTTCAGCCGTCTGACAATCTTCTGCTGCAGCCTCCACACCCCTGAGCCTGAAATGGCCAGTCCAGAGCCCAAAGACGAGGAGGGGAACCTGACATCACAAACCACCAGAGAGCAGAAGCTGGAGAGGAGCCTGGACTCTTACAACCAGCTCACAGCAGACAACAAGAAACACAACAACAACAACATGCTGGCCTGTAAGCGAGATCTCCCTCAACGTATATGCATCTGCTCATTCAGACCACATTTCAAATACACTCACAGATTAGAATCACTTTTCCACGCCAAACTCTTGATTGTGCGCTCAAGAGTCTTTGGATATTTGAGAGTTTATAGTTATCTGACAGAAAGCCTAGATCCGTGTTAATCAATCTGTTCAGAAGGAGGAAACCAGCTGAATCAGGAATCGCACAAAGAACCGTCCTGCTGACAATATTCTGGTATATTAAAACAAAACATGGCTCCTGGGTCGATCGTGCAAGAGGCAGGATAGAGACATCTTGAACCCAACTATTGTTTTCATTAGAACTAGTCAGAGCTGATACCTGATGGTGCTCAAGTGTTCCCTGTCTCTCTCTCCTCTCTCCCCTTCTCCTCCCCTCCCCACTATCTCTCTCTCTCTCTCTTCTCTCCCCTCTTTTCCACCCATCTCTCCTCTCCTCATTTTTCTTTGCTCACCCAAACCGGTCGAGCCTGGTTCTTCTAGAGGTTTCTCCCTGTTATTGAGGGAGTTTTTCCTCTACACAGTCGCTGCTCATTGTAGGAACTGTTGGGTTTCTCTATATTAAATAAGATTTTAAGGTCTTGACCTTCTGTGTAAAGTACCTTGAGAATTGTATATTATGATTTGGCGCTATACAAAGAAAATAGAATTGAATTGAATTGAGGCCACTGACAGGGTCTGTTAATTAAAGGGTCTGCTAGTTTGTTTTTCTTCACACATACAGCTCCTCCGGGTTTGGTCTAAAAAGGTTCAGGGTTACTCTGCATGTGGTAAAGCAACTCATGTGACTCACTACACCCTCAGGCAACGTCCACACAATCCATCCATGCTTTATCTTGTCTACTCATCCTTAAAGGGTCATTGGACCAATGAGAAGATGGACCTGTACTGACAGTAGTGTTAAGTGTCAGCAATGCTGTGCATTCACAACGGCTGATGACTGACTGATAAGAACCAATCAGGAAGAGGGCGTCTGTGTCTGCTTGATCCCAATAAAATCAGTTTCTGTTCGTTTTAAACTAGATTGAGGCCAGCAGCATATCCAAAAGTAATTCAAAATATATCTCTTTCACCTTTAAGACAAATAGAACAAATAGTTTGGAACTCAAACACTCTTTATTTTTGTTTTGGCTGTGTGAATGAAATTGTATGTTAAAATATGCAAATAATGAATTATCCTATGAGAAATGTGCTAATTCACATACATCTCCAGAACTGAAAGCTGGAGATTGGATATAGCTAGGTTCAAGATTGTGGTTTAATTGAGTTGACATATTAGAGAAGCTAGATCTGTCTTTTAGTTTTAAACTGTCAACACCCATTAAAAGTAAATGAAGAAACCACTAGACTATAGACAGGAATTAAAGTGAAGGTTTGGTGTATGCAGTCATGTAGAAGTGGAGAATTCTAGTTTGAGGAAACAAAAAGTTGTGAGAAAACGGCTTTTAAAGATGTGTTTGGGATGTTTTCTTTCTACCAGTCTAAAAGAAAAAATGTTGTAGAGGCAAAATAGCTTCTGAAAGAAGAACTGAAAACGGACCAGTGTGTCAAAAAACAATGTTTTTGCCCATTATGTGTCATACTCAGGTAATTTGTATTCACAGTCTAAAATTCCCAATGCATTTATTCACACACATCACTGTGGGATGAGGAGGCTGAATTAAACCAATGGCACACATGACCTGCAAGCCAAGCAGACAGCACACTCTACTGGACAAATTCCAAACTGCGAGGTTTTGAAATGGAACCAGGAAGCAAACGTTGAATGTTTCAACCTTTTGGAAAACAATATTTTCATTCTTTCCGAGAGTTTATACCTACATGCTACACCCAGTAGCACTAGTACTGTGCTCACACTATATCGACGTGTCACAGGCAAATGTTTCACATATGACATGTAATATGTGTATCAACAGTTAAGACTCATCTTTTCAATAATTTAGGTCAGTTTTAACAAAACGAATCAATGCACAGCTGTG